AGACGTTGCCAAAATATTAGAATTACAAAGACTGGACGTAAATCGTCTTAGAGGCCTAAAAGGTTACTGACGTTACAAAGCAGCAATTATGATCGTTATGTATACAAACTTCGCAAATGTTTGTGATCGTAAATGAAATGAAATTTTTACTGTGCTTTTTCACAGTATCATTAGTAAATAAAAAACTTTGTCAGTACCATCACGAGATCACAGTTATTGACTGGGATTTTAGCAACATAGGACTTAGCTTTTTATGAAGAAGAATAACAGCTGAGAAAAATACCTAACAATGTGTGCATTCAAATGAAATAACGTCATTTACGCCTTTTTTTCTCCTCCATAATCCAAATTTGAAAAATTTAGATCAGGCCTTTGGGCAAGACGCGTCAGTGAAATTAACACTGATTTTCATTTTCATGCCGATTTAGACAAACCGATTGAACCTTAATAGTCTCAGCTGTCCATTGTTCCGAGTAAACATGATGTTATTAATACTCTGTTCCCGTATAAATATAGAAACAATCGCACCGAAGTATTTGTGTGAAATGAACGTGAGATATGTTGGAATTCCTTTATGATTATTATGATGCGTTTCTTCTTTATTCATAATAATAAAGAAACATTTGTTTTGATGTATTCACGAGCCAATATTTTCTTTCATTTGCGCACAAACATCCGGCTCTTGAATATATCTAAAGTGTATAACCGCAACCATTGAGTTCTATAATAACTGGAGCGGCTATCTTTACTGGGGCGAGGTCGCCAAAAAAATGGCGGCCAACGGACGTATTTCCGCTGAAATGATCGCTTTGCAGAAAAATAATATTCTCGACCTCCCCCTGGTGTCTATAGTAAATTATAAAAAATTTTTCAAAAACAAACACGATATCACAGAATATTGATATCGTTAGTTCCATATTCTGTGACGATATTTTTTTGGCATTTCTTTTATAATGCCAACACTTCAATCGTTCAATTGTTGGATGTCGTAGTTTCCACAAAAAGGAACATATCGCTTCTCACAGGTGAGGTAGTTGTTTGTTTTGTTAGTCCGTCAACGATTGAAAAGCAATTATACATTCACTTGAAAAGCCATAAAAATACATAATAAAGATCGTATTTTTTAAGACTGACTTGAACGCCAAATATACTGATGTTTTCCTGTTTTTGTTTATAAAATTCTGCATACTTTTCTGTCATTTGTTTATGCATGAAGTCGTAAATTTACCCATCTATTTGCAAAATAGTTTCCCTAAAGCAAAAAAGACCCTGCACACATTTTGCTCTGTGAGTAAGTATCAAAACGAAATGATCAGCCCCAAGAGTACCCATGATTTGGAGCAGAGCTTCTATTTGCTGACAACATGCAGGGAAGACCAAGGAGTAAAGATGACTGGAAGATGTTATTGACCATGCAGAGTCTTAAAAAAATGATAATGCTGTAAAGATAATTGATTTATTGTCTGCCCTATCCAGAGTTATTTAATTTGATAATGGTCAAATTCTATGGATGGAGACAATGGATTCACTAAGGATGCCTTGAATGCTTTGAAGTTAAAGTTCATAAACCAAAGAAAGATGGCAAGAAGGTTGTGTGTGTTTTGATGCTTAATGAATTGTCAATTCACAAACATATAAAATGGGAAAGCCATAAAGTTTGTGTCTATGTAAATATTTGTACTGAGATTGATGATGACTTGATGCAGATGTGAAGCATCAAACTGTATAAGCCATTGGGTTTTACATAACTTAATGTTTAAATCATGTCATATCTTTATCAAAATATTTTAGTTGAGTGTTGTATAAATGTTACTAATATCGAATGCACTACACTGAAGCATTAAAGATTCAGTGATGAAACTTTAAAGTTACTGTACTGTATATTTCTTCATTATAACAGTTTTGCTTTAAGAAACAGTTTGAGCTTATATACCTAGTAAAGTACAGAATGGAGATTTATCATATGCATTATTGCTTTTTTTAAAGAAAAGTTTTCACTTTTCAAAGCTTTCCTATTTTTGCTTCTTATTTCTTTTCATGAGATTGATGATATATGGTTAATATAATCCAATAACTTTATAATTTCTAAAAAGCTTTTAAGCTTCTAGCATAAAAGTAGTGTACTTTGGTATTTGATTCATTTGGTTATATTGCCTTGCTATGACATATCTACTTGCACTTCATCATTCTTGTATGAACAAAACACCAGATGTGGATACTCAGAGAACAAAATGCACTACCAACTGCTTATGAAATTTATTATTGAGGTGAAAACTGTGTTAATCATTCAAATTGTGTACTTATTTGCAAATATAGGAAAAACAAAACAAAGTGAAAAAGAAGGGTAGAAGTATTAAAACTGCAAATGAATTATAAACACCATTGGAAGCATAAGTGTTTTGATGATTATTTGCATTATGCCCAATTCATATATCAATACAACAAAATCATGTGCTACAACTTTACAAGTATTTGATGCAGTTGCACTTCAGAACATCACAAAAAGGTTACTTTAAGTAATTTCTATACAATATTGTTTGTTTTCATTTACCAAAGCTATGCAGACTTGAGTCTTTTTGAAATTTCATATGAAACTCAATTACAGAAAATCCGTAAATATCCATTGATTTAATATTTACTTTTTTAAAGAAACAAGTAAAAATCCAACAATTGTGGCGAAAAAAGCCATTGCCCATTGCATGAAAAGAAGCAAAATAGCAATGATAACAAATAAGCTAACTTCTCTCTCGTGAACCGTGGAGATGAACTATGATATACTTTTTTGTATAGACTAAAGAGTTTAATCGATCAAACAAGTTTGACGCTGGTAAGAAAACGACGCACATCTGCATTCATACATGTGTAGCCGACATATAGCTCTTTCGTCGATAGTTATAAATGCATCCTTGTAGGAGCACATAACTGACAACCACAGTTGACTCGCTGTTATGAATTTAAGGTTTTGATGAAAATCAAGATTTTCATCAAAAAATTGCTTGCCGAATCCCAAATACACACATACATTTTCCTCACTCTTTCCTCAGGAGGGAGTGGGAAATTGTGAAATTTTCGGAAAAGCGATCAATTTCGGTAAATCTCAGCGGCAACGGACGAAATCCACCATTTTTTTGGCGTCATCAGATATCTAAGGCCGCGCTTGAGATAGCCGCTCCAGTTATTATAGAACTCAATGACCGCAACGAAATAAGCAAAATTATACAAAAACACTTTTCTTCAATACACGTTTCTGATCCTAAATGCGAAAGAGAACTAGGCACCAAAATGTCTCACCAATACTCATGCTGTCATGCAATGTAAGTGTGATAATTTTGTAAAAAAATAGGAAGCTCAAAATTTGGAAAGAAAACCAAAGATCATTGCTCCAGTTAAATGGTAATTTCTACAAGCAAAGCGGACAGTATTATAAAAGGTATTATAATAGCCGTAAAATAGCATACAAATCATGTTGATCTTTTAAAAGCTTGATCATGTGGAACGAAACGACGAGGTTTCTCCGCATGTTAGCTAAAAGCATATAGTTGGGACGGTTATAGAGATTGCGGTTTAATTAAAAGATAATAAGAAATTTGTAACAATTATGTTCCAGTTATATCTTTTACAGTAAGGGTGGGGTGTCACACCCTTAAATCCACCTAGTTTGATTTTATCACTAGACATGTTTAATTGAATAATAATGTGGACATGAATCGTTGTCACAAAGCTTTGGGGCATTTCTAAAACGAGAGCGACAACGAATAGCATTCACACAGACTCGCCAACTTGTGTAGCTACGACATAGCATTAAGAAATGCATCATCCCTTTGATGCAAAATCAAGGTAGAACTAAACGCTGTGGATGAAAAATAAAATCACATTACGAAAAATTGGAGAAACATCCCATTCGGCAGATACGTGGATAATATATTGTTTTTAAATGAAGGAATACTGATTTTTCACTTTGATAAGAACATGGAGAGACGATCAACTATATGATTAGATAAGATATCGCAAAACCATTAGTGGCATTTCCTCAATAAATATCTACTCTCAGAAGGAGTATGGCTTTGCCAGCTATTACAGGTGTCTACCCCATGCGTACCAAACAATTCAGTTTAGGAATGGCTTGATCGTGATCCTTAAACAGTTAACACGATTCATAATGTGTTTCCACATTTCGACATTCACCTCTTTAACACATGGAAAATTTTCCTTACTTCTTACTATAGTACAAAAAAAAAATGAAACACTCTTTTGCGAGGTGTAAGTTTATGATGTAGTTTTGCGCGTGCAAAAATTCAAGACATTATAATACGCCGATTAATTGAAGCAATTTATTTTCCCACGGAAAAAACCCATTAGTGTAATTGAATGATTAGATGCTTGACAATAAAATATGTTCTCATTACTATAGTATAAATACATTTGTATTGCATGTAGATCATAAAAAATAAAATGGAGAAATAAACAGAGTTATGAAATGTTTGTCAACATTTAAAAACTTGTTTTGAAAATGCACAATATCATATAATTATGCACCAACTGAAACAATTAAAAATGGTCACGATTTGGTTTCTCTGGTATTCGCTGTAGAGATAATCCTTTCCTGATGTAGCTAAATCTTGGATATTGCCCTTGTTAAGGACTTTGTATTAAAGAAGTCTGTAGACGCGTAAAGAAATATTTTATGAAATATAGTTGCAATTAAAATAACAAAAAATTCAAACAGACAAGTCATTGTAGACAAGAATCTAAAAATTAACATAGAAAAGTAATTTATTGCAATATTATATACATTACTCTTAATCATACGAGAAAGCAACAGCAAATAAAAACAGAAAAATCTAGAATAAAACCAAACAGGCCTGCGCTAATATATATTCATCGACATAAAAAGACGACGATGCTTGTCGGCCAATTTACAAAAAAAAGATATCATTTACATCTTGTTATCAAGACTTTTTTCTTGCATTGCTTACACTGAACGGAGCAACAGTACGTAAATTTACATTTACATTTGTGATTCTTTTCTATCCAAATCTTGTTATAACCTCGTCCACAGCAAAAAATCTTGCAGTTGTAGTCATGAGTGGAATTCATACTACACCTTCTACCGGAGATCCCTTGTACCCCCAGCAAATCATTCTGTTCACAGAACGAAGGAGAACTCTCCAAATACAGCAATTCATGTTTTCTTGATGACGTTAAAGTGGATCTCAAAAGGCTGTCATAATTTCTCGGAGACTTGTGAATACTCAGGACTGGTGGCTTAGGTTTCATTCTACGCTGATTGACAAGTTCCACTTTTCTTGCACTTTTCATAATCTTTTTGAGCGTACTTGCAATATTGCGCAAATCTGATGGCACCTGCACGCAGGTCCTTATGCTACAGGCACCGCTGAAACCATGACATTTACATCTTAATTGTATTGCATCGAGGAACACCTACGATATGTATATATATATATATATATATAAAAACGTTGCACATAAATATTATTCAGATATGACAAGATTGTGAATAATGTAATAAAAATGTGAAATAGACATGTGAAAGACTACGAGGATAAACAGTTACCAAGAATTACATATGGGAATACCATACTAAGATAGCTGAGCTATCACCATCGGATGCGGTTGGCCTTTGACCTTCTTTTTAAAAAGACTCGTTCTCAAACAAACCAATACATTATTAATGGTTTAGGTAAAAGTGCATTTGATCTGTAATAGCAACGATTCTTTCCAACATACCATTCGCCCAACTCGGTAGTTTTTTCGTTTTACCATTTCTGGTGTGTCACGACTCTTCTTGTGAGAGTTCAGAAATTTCTCGGAAATATATATTCCGTGAGAAATTGCTTTGTTATGACGGCTGTATTCTGCTTTCGTGCGTCTTCTTTTGGAACCTCTCCTATTACATGATGGTATACCTCCCATGAGGCAATCAAGTGACACAGTCCTCGCAATCGATGCAGCGATCAAGGCGTGCACGAAAGCAACTTCTTTGAAACCTTAACAATAATTAGAACATAATTTGAAACCTTAACAATGATTAGAAGCATAATTTGAAACCTTCACAATAATTCGAAGCATAATTTGAAACCTTAACAATAATTAGAAGCATAATTTGAAACCTTAACAATAATTAGAAGCATAATTTGAAACCTTAACAATAATTAGAAGTATAGTAATGACTTGCGGAAAAAATACAAAAACAAGTAAAAAAAGTTTAATAATAGAAGTTTTTATTTAATAGAAACTGAACCACATACCTCTTTTCATGAAAGCTCTTGTCATTGCAAGCATGACACTACCACGCATACTGGAAAATGAGCTGCAATTCCAACGATTATGACGGAATTGATGGCGACATTCGTCAAGAGCTTCACGGAAACCACGGAGAACAGAAGTAAATTGTTTTGGAAATTTCAAACACATTCTTCTTTGTTTTGTACTGAATTCTAATTGATTCATACAAAGTGCTAGCGCAATCGATGCTGATGGCCGTTCTCTTAACTCAGCAGAGTGGTTTGCTTCATAAAATATGGTACCTTTGGGTCTACCAACAGTTGTAAAGCTATTAAAACAGAATTTATTGCACTATAGTAGCATATAAAAATGTGCTTACTCTGTCAAGACTTTTAAATTAGATTAATAGATTATTTGCCTTTCTAAAAAAAGATATGCAAGATGCGGATCTGTTTTTGTGCCAAATTAAAACTTAAATATGTTGAGATCCACGGGCGGATTACAATACGTAATCATTAGTCATAATCATACACTACAAAGTCAATACAAGAGAAACTGAAAGCATACACTAAGCGTACATAACCGATCTAATAGTGATTATCTTTTACTTCATGTTATCTTATCGTATTGTTATCTTAGTATTTCTATGTTTGGAACAAATGATAAGCTAAGAATCCTGTTGAATGCGCCAAAGTTCTAGTTTTAACATCCACATCATGTCAAACAGACACAACTCTCAAATTACTCGCTTTAATGCGCTTAAAACATTTTTGACTAAGACGCTCTATGGAAGACCATAATATTTATCTTTCATCGTAAGCAGGATATGCTATAGACGAATAACTCAACTTATAATTCATTTAATCTAGCAATTTCTTTGTAAGATTGTAACAAAATCCTGGAAATATGATCACGTCCACGCACTTTACGAGAGTTTAACTGTCAGTCTGTCGACAATTTATTTCATGCAGGGACGCCAGCATGACGTGTAATTGTGTACATAATCGTGCATCTTACTACCTCAATGGTAAATTACAAATCTTCGAAATCTAGCTTTAGGTCGTCCACTTATAAATGGAAAACCATACAGCCATACACACTAAAACATAAATAAAAAGATGGCTCATGGCTAAAAACCTGCAATGAAAAGAAATCCCAGCAGATGTATGTAAAAGTAGCTGTATGGCTTTTTTTAAAGAATTTAAACTGAAAGTATGTAATACTTGTTAACACTACACGAAATCTAAAGGCTATATAATATAGAAAACTGAAAAATCTTTTGAAAATCTATTGGTCAAAAAGAGAAGATGACAAACATAGCTCAATAAAACATTCAGCTAGTAGCAAGATTAAATAAAGCAAAACCACAACCATGCAAGTCATTTAATTACGTGGCAATTTATCATAATTTGTCACAAAAGTTAGACTGTGTTATTCAACACAATCATAAAAGTGGGTTTAATTAACCAAACAAATCATTGGTAGGTAGAACATCGTTTCTTCAAAATCGTACTTTCATGTATGAAAACGAATTCTCTACTCCATAATGCAAAAAGAAACGTGGTAAAGGAAAATTGATAAAAATGACACAGGTGTGATCACAAAATAAAAATCTAACGTCTTCGCATGTTATGAAATATTGACGTGACACAAATTGAGAATGTGTTCATTATATCCTTTCTCCAGCCTGCTCAAACACATGGCCAACGTATTTTCGTTATATAAATAGTAACAAAAAACTAATAAACTTTGTCAACTTAGGGGATGTTTACATAAAATTGAAAGAGCTATGATTTTTGGATATTTGAAGTTTGAACGTAATTAAATGATTAAATCAGAAAATGAATTTACCTCAAAAGGCGAGTTCACCTCAGATTACAAAATATGTTTTGACAAACAATCACGAGGTATCGGGCTACTAGATACATCACATAAGAAAGTAAACACATATCGAAATAGCTTTATGACAATGCTTTGGTGTTGAGCCTTAAAGGTTTTCTACCTGAACAGCATTCAAGTAAGTGTTTTTGTTGAATGCCATGTGTATGGTCCAATCTTTCGAGACCGTTTCATTAACTACGCAAAACTATTAACAATAAATTGCACACAAACTTTAACTTAAATAAAGTATGTACGAGAAATGGTAATGCACATTAACCCTCATCAAAGATGCTCATTTAACTCATTATTCCCAACATATGTAAGAAGCTGCATTCTTCAAACCAAAACATTGATTTGGAAGCGAGATCAAAACAAGTATTCATCTTACTCACTAAAATTAATATAACTTTCACGCAAGCGAGCAAATGTTTCTTTGAAAACACTTACCGAGACGCAGAAGTAACGGAGAAATGACAGCAAACTATCACACAGAAAAATGTCCAACAGTAATTGGATGGCAATCTTGTTTCCATCTTGCTTTCCTTGTAATTCAGTTGCGAATATTTCTCGTGTGCAATTTATGCCAGTCAAATATGCGATGTCATTAAAATACAGGAAGTCCATGCGTTTAGAAAGACGACAGTTGATGGAAGATTCCTTTCAAGCTTTCATCACATATGGTAGTTATATAGAGATAAAATCAACAAACTTCGATCATACATTCTATATTCATCATATCTGAGAATTTTTCTTGTGCTTCAAGGTTCACGACTGTAAATGATTACTGTAGTATATATGTAATCACAATTTTGAAAAGAGATGATAAAAAAGGGTAAACGATCACAAGTGATTGCTTGAAGGTTTCATCTTGTAGAACCCCAATACAGCTCTATGGAGCAGTGATTGATTTTCTCATGTATACTTTGGTCAGTGTTACTGATATTGCTCTTCGTGTCTTAATCGCAACTAGCAAACCACGAGTTGAAATGATTTCATTCGAATCAAGGGAAAAGAAAGTAATGAACAGTCTGAAGTCAACTGAGAATGAAGATTCTGTTGCTCGTCCTGTCTTTGACATAGAAATTCAATGGCAAAAAATGACGAAGTTTCCCATCATTATATGGAAGTTGTGTGGGCTTGTACACCTGTGTTTTTCCTGCATGAGTTCACATGTACATAACATCGGGGTAAGAAACATACAAAATTGTACATATAGATACCATGGGCTTTTGACATATACATGAAAGAGAGTAATCAATGTTGCAAATCAATTGAAAAAATACGGTGTTACCATTGACTTCAATACAGCAGCAAATGATGTGGAATTAGAAGATTTTATGTGTGACGAACAGTACGAGAAATGCTGCGTTAATGAAGCAACTGCTGACGTAAAGATGCAAAGCATATTGGATACCCTATAATAATCAAGGCTTCCGAGAGCGGCGAAGGAAAAGGAATTCAAAAGGAATACGGCCATACTATTCAAACACTTATGTGCGAATGGTTTAATGAAAAAAAGTTAAAAAATAATCTAGATGTGGCCTGTTATGATGAAATGGGGAATAAAATGAAGCAGATGTTCTATGAAAAGAAAGCAAAAGGGCGTTTTTTTCTTTGTTACGTTAGGGAAAGCTATTAAGAAGGTCTCTGTCTTTAGGAGAACAAATAAATCGTATGTTAAAAAACTTTCAACCCTCCTCCAATCTATTGAGGAGCTAAATAACGTGCCTTCTTTCTTTTGCAGAACAGAAATGCAAATCATGCCTCTTGTCCATACTTGTCTCTTGTCTCTTGGGAAAGTCTTACTTGTTTCTTGCAAAACTAAAATTGTCAATTGTCTTTTGGAGAAGGACAAATCATGCGTCTTTGTCTATTGCAGAACTGTGCTAATTTTTTTCTCTTTAGCAGAAAGTATCCTTTGTTCTTTTCATTCCCAAACAGGAGAGTTTCCAGTCATGTGAATCATGTAAATATGCAGTTAAATACATGTTAAAGAGATAGCATTTTTAATTTTGAAAAAAACTACTTATACCATTCTCTGCTCGTCACAAGAAATTATACTGACAATCATAAAAGCAAAACAATGATAACAATCTTGTGGATTAATATAATCATTATCTAGCAAAGAAGTGCAAGAGTGATTTGACTTTCAAATTAAAAAATAAATCATTGAGAAAAATTCAGACGACAAACTGTCTGTTCATTTTGTTACGTGCATGCATTTTAAATATAATACTACTCTAACTAATATAATAAATGATAGCTATTATAGTATAAAACTAATGTAATACTTAAATTTTTGTCTTCCTTGCTCAAATAAGAAGTAATCTTTTTATGAGGCATAAAACAGTATCTAAGGACGCTTTAAATTTGTTTCATCGCTTTGGACAGCTCAATGGATACATTTGACAATGAAAAGGGATGTTGCAAGAAGTTTGGGAAAAAGATATTTTATAAAACGCTCTTGATAGTTATATACATGCATCAATTTATACATTACCATATGTTCTAATTATTCTAATTTGATGAAACAAACGAGATAATACACTAACAAATAATTCCCGTTATAAAAAGCTAGACAATAGACTCCATCAGTTGTGAATGCCATAAATATATATCGTGTTGAAATAAATGTGATTTTTCTTATTAATCATGATTAATTTTTGCTTTGAAGAGCGTATTTGCAATGGTTAATGAGAACTACATCGTATGTATTTCTAAAATTAACTGTCGAAAACCAAAATTAATATAAATTAAATGACAGCGTACATTTTGGCAGACTTTTCATTAGGTGCAACGTCTTCTTTAATGAAAACTAAAAAAAGTTTTCCTTAAAGTTTCAGTTTCTAGTTTTCGTTGCAGCTGATGGGATTATATCTGCCAAATATAATTTATCGTAATTTTGATTTTCAACAGGTCTTAGAACTAGCGAGGTTATAGTTGTCATTTACCGTGGCAAATACTACTCAAAGCAGTTTCTTACCACAATCAAGTGTTTGTTGAATGATAGCGAGGTTGTAGTTGTCATTTACCGTGGCAAATACTACTCAAAGCAGTTTCTTACCGCAACCAAGTGTTTGTTGTATGATAGCGAGGTTGTAGTTGTCATTTACCGTGGCAAATACTACTCAAAGCAGTTTCTTACCACAACCAAGTGTTTGTTGTATGATAGCGAGGTTGTAGTTGTCATTTACCGTGGCAAATACTACTCAAAGCAGTTTCTTACCGCAACCAAGTGTTTGTTGTATGATAGCGAGCTTGTAGTTGTCATTTACCGTGGCAAATACTACTCAAAGCAGTTTCTTACCGCAACCAAGTGTTTGTTGTATGATAGCGAGGTTATAGTTGTCATTTACCGTGGCAAATACTACTCAAAGCAGTTTCTTACCGCAACCAAGTGTTTGTTGTATGATAGCGAGGTTGTAGTTGTCATTTACCGTGGCAAATACTACTCAAAGCAGTTTCTTACCACAATCAAGTGTTTGTTGTATGATAGCGAGGTTGTAGTTGTCATTTACCGTGGCAAATACTACTCAAAGCAGTTTCTTACCGCAACCAAGTGTTTGTTGTATGATTATTATTATCATTATTACGTATTGTTTGACTTGTACGCAAAACACCTCAGAGAATCTCACTTATCAAAATACATAAAATAGAAAGGGAACTCATATTGTATGTGTTTTCTACAGTAATGGTTATTTTGGTCAGCTTGTTGGTTAGAATTTTCTTTCCCTAACACCTTACTGGTATTGGAGAAATTTAGCCAACACGGCGTGCCACCGACTGAGACATTTTTAAAATGACTTAAAAAGATGACATAGACATCTTTTCTATCAGACATAGACATCTTAGAGATACTAATCAGCCGCTCTATCTGTTAAGCAACTAAGCCAACAGACGTTAGAGACCAATCAAATCTCTTATTAACTGCCAGTGGACGAGTTATTCTCATCACAACAGCAGTTTTGATGGCACCATTTTTCGACTTTCATCATCAGAGAATCAGAAATTTTTCTGATTTTTTAGGGGGAAATGTGCCCAATTAAGCAAACTGTATTAACCAGATAATAGTAATTTTCACTGCATAATGTACTCACGTTTATCCTGTCCCGTTAACATTTAAAGTGGCGCCAGAGAAGTAAATTAGAAAAATGATTTCGGCTGATATAGCAATCATGATAATTTCCTGAAAACCTTCGCATCCAGCGTCTCCATTAAGATTTTCCTTGTTGTCGATCTATAAAAGCAAGAAGAGTAAGCTCAGAGTGACATAATCATAAGGTATTACCTGTTGAAGAGAAGAAATTGAACTAAAACAAGAAGATAATGAAGTGGACAGCTAAAGGATTATTTCTAGTTTTCTTGACAGCATGTACGTTCGAAGGAAATAAATTTCATTTTAAGTTACTTGTCACGAAATTTTCTCCAAAGAAATCAAACAAGCAAAGCTAGCTGAAACACCAAGAAAAATAAGTATAGCCTTCACTTAAGCACTGTTCATTGATTTTTTTCTAGGTCTCCTCGAGGTGGAATGTCGCAAAAATGACTACACCAATGACATGACAAACGATCTCTTCAATGATTGGGATGATTTTGGAAGAAATTGTGCGAATGACGACGAGCTTTTCCAACATGGTGGAACTAACAGACCAGGAAAGTTGAACGATGAAAATTTGGAAGAAAATGATGATGGCGACCACACAAAATTAACCGGTGGGAAGAAACGAGTGCAGTATTTTAAAATTCGAAGAAAAGTTATTAGGCCAGGACGTTCTGATATTCAAGTTGTAAAACCAGGGCTTTCAGAAAGTCATTTGAACAGAAAAAGAAGATCCTTTGTACGGGACATTTGAAATCATAAAAAACTTTTAAAAAGAAGTTATCCTAGTTGTGTAAATTTTGAGAAATACAACTTAATGAAACATATAAATAAAACTATAACACAGTTCACAATAGCTATATTTGAGACACATTGAAAATATCAATATGAAGCCATTTAATATTACTTCACAAACATGACAATAGCATTAATCAGATAAAAACTAATGTTAGGGCTCCATATCCGTGTCATGAAGTGTTTGCAAGGCTCATTTCTGACTTTTCCATTGGGATTCCAGGGTTGTTTTGTAAAGTGGGCGAAGGGTTTACATAATAGGGGTTTTTTGAGACCGGAATATCAAAGATCACGATTTTGATTTGGTGATTCATTGCAAAAGATCTGATGTCGACATCCCCATTATCCAAGTCTGATCTGATACTCCCCGCACATCCTTTTCAGAACAGGCACAGGATAGAATTGCAATACTTGTCACGAAATAATATAGATAAGCAGCAAAAATAACATATTTCTGACTCTGCCGCAAGCCCTGTTGTACGTACGTCAACCGATTATTAACGAATTTAACAGCGTTCTTAATAAAACGTTAAACGCAACGTCAAAATACTGGTAACAGGAAAATTTCAGTTAGTAAGATTCAACACCGGGTTCTAACATAAAAGTTCTAATTTCCTGCAAAATTATTCATCCAAAAACAGTTGCTGCAGTAAAAATTTACTGCTGTATTCTACTAGTTTCAAACGGCAGGAAGGAAAAATTTCAACCATGCACTACATTATTTTTCATATCTTTGAATAAGAATCATAGAATGCTTATACCCCCGACCATGAAAATATAATTGAGATATTTTTTTAAGTTGCTTGTATTAAGATGTTTGCACTAAAGAAATGAAATGTTAAGGTGTTATAAGTTGTTGTTTAACATCATCCAGTTGTCCAAGACCTTCTGCAAATACTTTGCCACAAAATGAAAATTACAATACAATGACGGTCAATGTTATCCGCCTCATTGACCTCGGTCTGTATAATTCTTGATATCATCATGCCCAGCCTCATCCTCATAAAATGAAAACAGTGCTAATAATGGCTGGTAAAACTTGAAAACTAGATTATGGTAAAAATCATCAAATATGCGCATCCTATATCATCGAACGTAGCAAAACGTGACATGTACGAATTAATATTATACATAATTCCTCTACAAATGAACATTGGTAATAATGGTGTATGCAAATCATTGATTCCACCTGCCCCCTTTATATAAAAAACTATTAGCACAACTCCAATTAACTTATTATCTTGTCTAAATACTGACACATTATCAAATGCTGTTTCGCAAATATACATTCACGACATTTCCCTTGGAGAATAATTTTAATGTCTTTTTACAATATATATATATATATACATAACATTACACACGACTGACTTGACTATATGCACTCAAGTTTGTAAATACTCTCTGCTGTCTGCATGACACTAAACTAGCGTTAGTTTCCAAGACAACCAAGAAAAGAAAACAGATGTCTTTACCAAAACGCCTTTGGATTTTACACATCAGATGATCTTATATGTTCATAGAATACTATATTTCCAATCAAATTGAGCTTGGGAAGGAATTTTAGCATGCTTATGTATGTTGAGCATAGTCATTTTTTTGTTTTGTGGATACTGACGTTGTAAATTATGGCATTAACAACATTGGAACAAATATGAAAATATCAGTCATAAATATTTAACAAGTTCCAAATTGCCAGTGTGTTGATAACAACGAAACACGGCGAGAACGAAGGAACTGTGGTTTTCTCGCAATTTCCAAAGTTAATTTAACATAAAACTGCTGGAGAGGTCAGAAACGTTCAAAGGAAGAAGTGGGCAAGCAAGTGTATAGAGAACATTCATGAATATCAAATTAACAGTCGTTCTTCTCTTTTCGTACATATCGAATGTTACGTCGTCCAACAAAACGGGTAAGCAAAGTTTTATAGAACAGATTATATGATTAAACCAGACTCATGTAGTTTCACAGTGCATGTACACTGTGTTAGCCTGTATAACGAAAGTCTTTCATTGAATATTTGAGGAAATATTAAGTTATTTAACATTTAAAATGGACGACAAATTTCTTTAAAGCAAACATGTTTCGGCATACTTTATGCCATATAATACTATAACATATTATCATGTAAACTTCCTACATTGATTCACTTCGCAATGAAGATGGCATAAAGTATGCCGAAACATGTTTGCTTTAAAGAAATTTGTCGTCTATTTTAAATGTTTTATGACTATTGTGCTCTCACGAAATTATGAAATATTAAGTTATTTCAAAAACTTGACCGGAGAATCTTAACAAACATAGCCTCTTTAATATTTCTTCTATCGAGAAAAAATTCTGTGTTTTCACCCATATAGTTGAATAAAACGTAAGGAAGTAAATAATTGTGATATTCAACCACTCTATGTATACAATTGTAAAAATGTTAAGCATAATGATCAAGAAAACTTTGCCTTATTATATACAGAGCGTGTAAATTAGTGCAGACCCGTTGCTAAGTTAGGATTCGCATGCTTTATGAACAAACCACCCCTTCTTAAAAAATTAAAGGTCTATAACTATACTATATTTGCCTCAGTAATGATATTAGCTATCATCATTTGGGCGTTTAAATATATTTTTGCCAAATCATTAAATCATCAATCTAAGTGTTTGTTAGCTACACATAAATGTGTATATCATCTCGGCTGTCGCTAAGAGACAAATTCAACCGTTTGCAAAAAACGTTTTCAGGACAATGCAGGAAATAATGAAATGGATAGTACCCACTGGATAACAAACCATCTTTTTGCGCCTATTTTCAATCTGCAGTTGAAAGTGGTTGAACACACGTAAATAGAAAGTCGCTTGAAGCTTATTAACTGTACTTAAGACGTTTTACAAAAAGTGCAAAACGCTTAGCGACAGGTGACTACATCGTCAAAAAAATTTTCAATACCATTTCAAAGAAAAAAATCGAAAACGGAATACATCCGCCATCTTTGACTATCATGAAATTCCTTTTCATCTACCAAGTTTATTGCTCACAAACCTCTCGCTAACTGCTTGTTTTAACTTCCTCGGTTTGCGAATGAAGTAGGGCCTTTTCTCAACTATGTTCTTCTCTAAACAACTATGTTCTTCTCTAGCATTTCTGACGCAATGCCTCAGATGTGTACCATACAAGCGATAACAGAGCATTAAAAAAAAACGCTAAACAAAAGAATATTTTCGTGACATAACTGACCGTTTTATACGATCTTTATTTAGCACAAAAACCTGCCTCTTGTCCACACCAACTGTTAAAAGCCCAATGGTGGAGTATCCCTCCATATATTTACCGCGACAAACATGGCGGCATTCGTGGAATATTTCCAACAGTGCTGGACGCTATCGTAAAGCAATGCTGCAAAGGTTACAAAAATATAACATACAATGAAAATTCGCTCAACGACTCCCAGGTTTTAAAGAACAATATTGGCGTCAACGGTACGGTGATAAGCTTCCCTGTTTATGGTGACATGAAAGACACTACATATCAAAACTACCCCTATATACCAGTGGTGGAAGCACCAGGAGTGGTCTTTATAATGACCAATGAGGATCCATCCAACGCTGCTAAGGCTGTCATGGATGCCGTGTTTCAAGGATGGCCAGTGCTCGTGCTAACTTTGTTAATGGCATCACTTTCTGGTATCATAATATGGGCATTGGTAAGCCAAAAATACCATCTTATGCATTGGAGATAAATAATTTGAATTAGCAATGGTGGTTATCCTTGACAACATTGATTTAGTTGTTTTGATAGAAGCATAGAATGTTTTTACTTGGCACGCACATACGTCCAATTTAATTGACCATTTTTAGTGCTATGATAACAGTAAGGGTATATTTTTTCTTTTAAAGAAACATTTAAAAAAACACTGCTTCTTTGTAGGATACATATTGGAATCCCGAGGAGTTTCCTCCGACATTCTTTCAAGGAGCCTGGGAGGGATTTTGGTGGGCTTTTGTCTCTATGACCACTGTAGGGTGAGTATTCATAGTTGGTCAAAGTCTTGCAGTAGCATTTCAAAATTGATGCAAGCGATAAGAAAAGACTTAAAAAAAAGTAAATCGTAAATCCTTAGTTGATCGGATTAAAGATTTCATTACTCTCAACAAAGCTTCGTATGTGAAGAAGATCAAATGGGTTATCGAAAGGTGAACTGTCCCAACTAACAGCCTTATAATCAAACTGCAGATAATCAAAGAAAAAATTGCTCGAGAGTCGATGACTAGTGCTAAGGCAACTAAACAACAAAAACAACTAAAGCTCGGTGATATTGTTCTGTGTTTCAGATATGGTGATCGTTCACCCCGTTCGTTTTTTGCTCGAGCTTTCTCGTTCGTGTGGATCATGATTGGTTTGGTAATCATCTCGATCTTCACTGCTACAGTAACAACATCGCTGACAGCTATAAGTCTTAGCAACGATATTAAACTATATGGATCGAACGTAAGTCGGATAGGAAGGGGTGCACAAATGTATCAATCATACTTTTTCAGCTGCCTTATTTCGAAATTTCTCAATTAGGTTGTGGCATTAAAAGAAACAGAAGAGCAGAGATTTGGAATTCGAAACAACGCAAAAGTTACAGGTACTTGCTCTTCAAAAGTACCTATACACGTGATAAAGTACTAAACAAAAATATTCTATAAAGAACTTGAGAAAAATATACTATGAAGTATTGGACAAAAATATACTCTCAAGTACTGGACAAAAATGTACTATCAAGTACTGGACAAAAATATACTATCAAGTACTGGACAAAAATATACTATCAAGTACTGGATAAAAATTGTCATAAGCATTCTTTACATACCATTTGTTACAAGCACTCTCCTGTGCAATGGTGTAACCTGACCAGAACATAGCAAAATAAAGAGTCTTAAAAATGAATCAGCATTAGAAAAAATCTAATCTAACTAAGATACTGATGATATCTAAGAGTTGAATGTTGTAACCCACCCCCCGGGAAATAGTTCGATCTGACTATGCTAACAGGAGTTAAAGTACATGAAAATTCCATGTTTCTCACAGCTCAAAATACAGTCGCACAAATGAAAAAGGCAATCATCGAAAAAAAGGACGACACACTTGGTGGACTATTAGACAGTTATGTTGCGGGGTACTGGGCTAAAAACACCGACAACTTGGAGACACCGCTGGCCGACCCATTGTTGCGCGTGGGAAAAGTGTTCGATCATCAGTTCGCGTACGGTTTTGTGATAACAGATTATGCAAAAAATGATAAGTTCGAGAAATGCACCCGAAAGACATTGAACAGTATGGAAACAGAAATTACAAAAATCATACAAAATGATGCAAAGACAATGGAAGTATGATATATTTTAGATTTCTATATTTATAGATAATCATACAGTAGAGCAACAACTACACCTGGGGCTGAATGAATGCCTGATAATTTAAACTTCATTTCTATACAAAGTGGTCACCATTTTGACTTTCCAAAATATCGCACTAATAGATTTAAAGATTCGTTTATCTTATCTAGTTTGCTCAATCTATAAATTCTTAAAGTACGTAAAATCTCAACATGTCCTATTTTTCTCCTTTATTCTTAATATAACATTAATTCCATATCTAACTTACATATATATCATGTAATTCGTCCGTTTGGCTGGTAAATGATTTTAATCAAACAGTTGAACTATATACCTATCTATCTTTCAAGGAATCTGGAAAAAGCGTTGCAGTTCAAAAAACAAAGAATCTCTTCGATCACAAATCACCAATATTTCAAAGTGCTATATTCTATTCATTGGGCATGGTTGGCAGTCTTACTTTATTCGGTTTGGTTTGGGAATACTTTTACTGGAAACCACGACAACCCAAGAGCAAAAATACGGGTGAAAGCCAAAACTAATGTGCACTTTGTTTCGATAAATGTCCATTGGACTAATAAACAGAATTCAACTGTGTACAATGCAAACAAAATAAACACGCTTAGCTATGTTTTTTTTTTCAGAAGTGGAGCAAGTTTATGACCAGCACACGTCATACGAAGATCTTGTCACTCAACAGAGCGAAGACATCGAGCACGTGATGCGTAGAGAGGTTCAACGGTTCTACGATTCGTGGAGCAGAAAACTTGAAAATTTAAAGCCATCCAAGCTGAGAGAGGAAGAAGCCATTGAAGAAATGGAAAATGAAAGAAAACAACGATTGAGCGACAATGGCTTGAACGAAGAACAGAATTTCAAAACAAACTACGACGAAATAAACGAGCAAGCCCAAAGATCACTATTTTCACCTTCTGAAATATAATACCTTGCAATTTTTTATATATTTTTCTTAAGGTTCCATACACACTTTAACATCTAAAACGTCAATCATGTAATGTACTACTACTAATCCCAACTCTACTACTACAATGCCTTACTCTATTACGAATAAACCCTCATCAGCTTCTACAAATCCCTCATCTACTTCTACTAAATCCTCATCTACTCCTACTATACCCTACTAGAACTACAAATCACTAAAATTAATCAAAAAGCGACGACACACATCAGACAAAAGCAAACGAAAGGGAGAAGAGGGCAAAATATAAAGTTTATGATAACTATACAATAACCTAACAATAACTGTAATACAGCAACATAGTAAAATAGAAATCCTCATTTCGTCTTAAAAACATAATAAAGCGAATAGCAATCAGAAGAGGTGAAAAACAACTGAGCAAGATTTGGAAAGAATACTACAGGAACAGTTTTGGGAATGTTTAAATTGCAATATTTCTTTGATATACAGACACTTTTGCACTACAGATAAAATATAGATACGAAGCATAGATATAGTTTAAAGCTACATATATATGTGAGCATGTATAGCTACGAAGCATAGATATGTGAGCATGCATTTTACATCGCATTATTTGTAATTGAATTGAGAATAATTAGATGAAATGAATATGCACATTTTACCTTATACGTATTGTTATGGGTTTTATCAAATTGGCAATATGTCTAGCAGACAACTTATCGTATTTGTTTCTGAAATAACGACGAGAAGTATACTGGTAACGTGATCTAGTCACGTGAACATATCACGTCATAAGACATTAACAAATACCCCTTTAGATCGTGAACACCAACCACAGGCAACGACATCCACACCTTAATATTCTAAAATACCCACACAAAAAACCTCATTTATCCGTTGACATTTAAAAGCTCAGAGATCAGTTCATTCAAAACTCTTCATGAGAATAGAAACCGAACTTTTGCTTCCTATTACTATTTTACTTTCAGAAGTTTTAATATTTTCAATGTCAACTGCCTACGTCACATAACAAAACATTGCTCCCAACATTTTACCCTCCAATAAGGAGAGTGGTTAGTTATCTCTATAAAAAAAAAACATTCATATCGTACTATTCACATGTATACGTGTAATTTAAATAATACAACAAGTCAACAACAAACAAAGGTTGCTGGTATAAACTGTAACACCAGATAAAAACAACTCTGAAGATAGTAGAACAATGGTAATTCCCTAAGATATTTTCTCAATGTTTCGAGTTGTTCTAAGGCAATGATTATGACTATACATGATGATTTCAACATTTGGATTAACCATTGCTCTATAACACGTAAAAAAGTTCCGTAAGAACTCAAAGAAAGTTTTTAGGATTTTCCATATTTTTCAATAAACCAGATAGAGAAGAACAAGATCATGAAAATTAAAAGACATACAAGCACAAGAAGGTTTTATGTGAATCTTCATGTTTAAAGAGAGTCACTATCCATCAACTCTCAGCTCATCAGAACTAGTAATCAAAATTATTTGTTTCCATTCATGCAATATGCAAAGTATTCAGTTTCAAACGAAATATCTGACGCAAAAGTCATTAAAATCTTCGTAAATTTGCCAAATAGGAAACGCGCCATTCTGTCTGTGAATCTTTATGAAGCTATACTTGTGGATTAGATGGGGATTAAGCATGATAATCAAGCTATCATCCATGGCACAATGACATAATTTCGAGCTTAGTGGCATAGCATAGATAAGCACTTTCTCTATTCATCAACTATAGCACGGCTCCTGCCAGTCTCTTTCAGGCAATGGCTTAATACGAAAATTACCCATTGATTTATAAGATGAAATGTGCGATAAAAAAGCAAGCGAGCTGCATGCTAACATTGATAGCATTTTTCCCCAACAAGGTTTTCCATTTGACAACTTAATGCGAGTGTTTAAACATAGGAATAATAGACGCAGTCCGCTTGTTTGCCCTTCATACTTCACACACACTCAAATTTTATGTACTTCCCACGTTGCGTACAATTTGTCTTTTGACTAAAAACGACTAACATAATTCACCTGTCCTAATATGATCATCTGTGACGCAGACGCAAATGATGTAACAGATGTAACCGTTTTGAATCATTCAAATCTTTTTCGTCCGTAGCGCATGAAATCTGAGAGGCGCTACTGGACTATCATGCTAGATTGGATATTGTTGTCAACATATGTCAATCTTGAGGGTAAAAAGCTTCAGTACCAGATCATCCCGCGTAAAGAATCGATTGAAGTATGAACGCAGGGAAATAAAGTGTGGACATCAAAATCTTCGAAAACAACCTGACGCGTTACAATTGATTTCATTGTTGTAAAGTAAATTTGATTAATGAAAAACAAGTTTATCAGGCATAACAAGCAGTACATAGCAAATACTCCGGAATTTGATGACTCCACATTTTCTCCACACAAGCACGTGGGATCAAAACGGAAAAAGCAGGGAGATTGTTGACATGAATCAACCAACGCATAAGTAAAGAATTATGAAATTTATACCTTGACATGTATTGTACTGTGTAAACACTACTTATGAAAGCTAAATAAAGTTTTCAGATTAACAGTCAGATTGAGAAAAACGACCTGCCGCTGCGAATATGTTTGAGCCTCTCGTGTGTGCGTGCGTGGAGAGACGGCTATAAACCATTGATGCTCATCACGAAGTGATCCAGTCACATCAAGACAATCGACGTATCATGGTGTATCTCGACGCAGAATCATCTCGTCACGATGAAATGCAAACAAGTGAAGGTTGCAGAAAACCTTTTCTTAGTTTCTCGATTGAACGCATCCTTTATGGACATTTTCGTACAGAACGAGAAAGAATAAAAAGAAAACAGGAGAACTCGTCTACAATAGTCGATCCTGCAAGTAGTGCAATGCCAGTTCCAAAATACAATTGGCTTGGATATACGAGATATAACCCTCCAAAGTTACCAAGTAAGTTTAGAAGACTCCTATGCAAAAGTAGTTATTATCAATATGTACAAGCAATACAAGAAAGCCTAAACTTTGTACCAAGAACCTTCACCATTCTAAGAATATTGCACAGAAAGTCAATTAAGTAATTTCTAGACAAAAGGAGGGTCTAACACAGACTTATGTGCAAACTTGACAAAATAGGTATTTGTAAACAAAAATTTAGTAATGAATACGAAGATATTCTACTATTGAGATATATGCAAGTTAGGCATTGAGCAGGAAACAAAAAATACAAAAAAAACAAGCATCACGGAACTTCGATGCAAACCAGATAAACAGAAAAGAACAATTAAATAGAAAAGATAAGATATGCTTCAAAAGCATAACTATTTAAGAATCCGCAAAACATGTATCTAAGCCAAGACGTCTATAAGCGAGTCGGTACCACAAAGTTCTATCCTTATCATATAAAATAATCATGATTATGTTTATCGTCGGGAAATATATATTAGCGGTAAAATGTTAAAGACACTACTTGTTTTGGGCGTTGCTTTAAAAAATTCACCTATCGCAAATGGGTTTACAAAATTTCTAGGCAGTAGCTATATTAAAAAGAGGAAGTTGGCGACAACATATTTATGATAGTCACATCTCAGATTTCTTTTCATTTTCCTACACGAATCGGAAGGTGTGTTTTGTGTATAAACACTCAATTAGGGCGAACAATCAACAAGAAAACCGTGCGCCATTTTACTGTCAGAATGGAGGAAGTCGAAAAACAAATTTCAACTTAAAAAGGAAGCTTGTTCATGAAATTTGTTCATGAAGTGCAAAACAGGCAATAGACACGGTTTAATACTGGTACTAATCAAACAAATGTATTGTCATGTATACTTTATGGATTTTACAGCAAAATTACTGTTTGCTCAATACATGTGTTAAATCTGAGCATTGAATTAATCGTCTTAAATATACTGTCTGATTATTTCGGTCAATCTACATACGTCCGTACAGTTATATCTTCACAGTAAAAGTTTCGTTGCCAAACATGAAAACCAATGGCTATACATGTATCAATGAATATTTACAAGTGAAGAAAAATGGTAAAAAATTGTGAACAACCTACAACTTCATAATAAGAATACCCAAAAGAAACTAAGCTGTGTGCTAGCAAAATATTTTTCAAAATGTTGTGTGTTTGACCCTATATAGAGAGGAAGTCAACTATACTCCTTTTCAATATTAATGAAATCATCGTGAATAAATGACTAGAGGAGGATGTCTGCATTGTACACATTCGTACCCAAATATCAACCAAAAAGATATAATGAAATCGAAATGTGTCAGTGAATTCGGAACAAGCCTTGTTGCTATTTTAATACTCATGCATCACCATCGGCAAAATATTGTTAATTAATTGCCGCGTCGTCTTCCTACCGATCAATTTCGGCAACGCCTAGAGAATACGCCAGGACGTAAACTACCAACGAGATAAGCGACGCATGATAAAGGTCGGTAATAAATGTCAATGAAATGTCGAAGACAAGAAGGTCATTAACATACTTTCGTATGCGCCAGCGCATTTTATATACAGACGTTAAAGGACACATCTCTCACTAACTGCATTGAGATGATGATGATGATGATAAGAAAAGCAAACTATCCTTTAACATAGACTAAAGTATATATTCTTCTAGATGGTTTTATTGAAACAGAGTTCGAAATGATATTGTTCCTAGTTAGGATGGGCAAAACGTTTTACTCTATGGATTTTTTTTTTGTTTTAAATTGTACTCTGAAATAAAAGATCTAATGATGACCTACATAGAAATTTGGTCATGAACTTTTCGCCCGCCGATATTAAGATTAAACTAAATACATTATTTCAACCAAAGAAAAGAAAGTCATTTATCAGAAAGTTTCACTATCACAAAATCAAAACTTATTTATAAACTGCCAAAGTTAGATATGTATATATCTATATATTAAACGAACATACGGTGAAATCAACAATAACATAAATAATGCAGGATCTCAGGCAGATTTCAAGTCTTGTTTGGTGTGATAATTATTTTTCTCCAACAACACAAAAACGACAAACTTTAATTAAGTTGATCTATGTCAGAATATATGTATTTAGGTTAAGAAAAACCGCTAAATACATAATCTAGACGAACAATACATTCGTTTATAGCACTGATTTATAGCATTAAATTGAAAATTTATATATCTGCGTTTAAAACTAGATTAAAATAAATGATTTTTTATAACTAAATCATGTAGAAGAGATTCTATAAGAAAATCTTACATTTAGGGAACAAACATGAAAAATCTTGACGAGAAAATATTTTTGCATTTATAGATAAAACTTTTTTCCACTCTCAATTAATGTTCTTAATTATGACCATAAATAATTTTTCAATAAAAGACGTCGAAATGACAAATTAGAAAACGGTTCAAAACCTATGAATTTGATTTAAAAATGCAACCTGTTGCCACATATAAATAAGATTCATCAAAACAGATGAAAAGTTTAAATTAGAAAAATTAGAACGACAGAATTGCAATCAGCGAGATAAGATTTTCACATGATTAACTAATTGACGGAGTCGGCAGAAATTGTAGTAAGTTTGAATATCATCAACCCAAAAGCTTTCTTATGAAAATAATTTGGAAAATAAATTGATTGATTGAGTGGATTTTAACCAATGCCATATTTTGATTGCTGTAGACGGACCAATCTTCACAAAATGAAACAAACTAATATCTATCTACAAACTGTACCTACATTTCTCGTTAAGTGCCACTAACATTATGCCGTGAAAATCAAATACTGGACTTGCATAAGCCACAAATTCATACATATAACACATGAGGGCATGGAATATCGATTTTGAATAGCGCAGGATGTAACAAACAACTTCAGTTCACGATAAGCGCTCAATTAATTCCGACATTGTGCACTCATTGAGATAAGAGCGTCTTCCTATCATTATATTAGCGCGTTAACAATTGGCCGACAAGTGACGCGCGTGAACGTAAAGAAATTCTTGAAATTTACGATGATGGACGTGGTTTTATAAATCTCAATCATATCATACGATACATGTTAAAATCATTAACGTGGCAACCAAATTCCAAGTCGATTAGTTCATTCTTCAAGCGCACATCAAAAATGTAAACACCCAAAAGAACCCGTAAAATGGAAAAAACGCATGCATTTGGCCTCGTTTTAGAAACGAGTAATCCACTGTAAAGTTGTAGCCACATGATTGAGACACTGCAAATTTAATGAAGACAAGAAAAAAATAACACTGACGGGTGGAAGTACGAGGGAAAAACATTAGCAACAGTAGCAAAAGCCATATATCAAATACAGACAGTCTTTAAGTTTATTTAAAAGATAATGAGAACGATAGCAAAATGTTTTTCACTTCTATTTCCGTGTGAAAACAAGCGAAGACGCTTAAAGATTCAACATTTGGTAAACGTCCAAATCACTGTCCTCTAAGTGATGTATGATTTTCTTAATAGACTTGTGTTTATGTTACCTTAGTTTGCACGGGCATGCCTCTACAGCTACAAAAGCTGTCAAAATATGTTTCACACTATAAACATTTCAAGTTGAAAATCATGTTGCTTCAACGAACTTATGTAATATAGCTTGCAGAAAGCGTTTACTCACGATCTTGTATTTTACAATGCGATTAAGAATTTAAATTTACCATGAACAACATGGATGCAATAAAAAAGACTAATGGATAGCGACGACAAGTCACTTTCTAAACATCTACAAGAGATCCACAATAGCGATGAGACGGGAAAGTCTTTTAAAACCTCAACGTACTATGTACATGTCGAGATTATAACACAATCTTATGATGCAAATGCAAGATAATCAAGAGAACACTTCCTGAGTAATGGTTTGAAGTCTGAATTTCATCGATGATTGATTGATTTATGGCACTTTACTCAAACGCTTTGGGTGGTTTATACTGTCTTAGTGTTTATAAATAATGAGACAATTTAATGCATTAGTGAATAGCGTTGTACCAACTCTACACGAGATTAAGTTTTCAGAAAAACAAACACTTTAACATTTCTCAATATCATGAAAATCCAGTCGTCTGCAAGCACTTGAGTGTGATCATTCTACTCACAAAGTATTTTTTGGGCATTAACAAGAGAAAACTTTATATCTTCAGGCGAATAGTCAAACGTTCGATAAAAAGCGATTGTCTATACATCAATCCAACAGTTTGATTTTTGAAAAACTCAGTTTCATTTGACTTACTTTGTAGCTATACGCAAATTATCTGCTATGCAAGAATGAGTAAACAAATCCTTAGTGTAATAGATGTCTCGACAAAGTTCACACAAACTGAACAAGAACCTTGGAAATTCTATCTTGTTTTCTAAATATAATTATTAAGCTTCATTTTCTAACGTTCAAACTGGAAAACTAACAAACCATTTCTACAGCATGCGCGTGTTTAGTTTCCTGATGCCCTTATTCGACGACCTTTAAGTTGACATGCCCACTAATTTCAGGAAAACAATCCAAGTAATATATCACAATGAAATATTGTCACTAAAATTTGACATAAGTGTGCACAGCTTATCGTCGACATATGCATAAACGCCGAGCCAAAACAGATGATGTAGGTTATAGATATGAGTTCACTCGAATTTTATTTAAAATTCGGGTATTTTTTTACTTGTTTAATACTTCTAAACTGCTAAATTGCTTAAAAATGGGATGTGTGGTATTTAAATTCAACATAAACAGATGCTAAGCTCAATCTAACTTTTGATTACACAAAATTATTTCACATATATAGTAGCTATAAGTTGATTGTAAATTAAATCAAGAATAAACTTCCATAAACAATTCACTACAACCTCACAAATCGTTTCAACGAAAACCATTTAATCCCTTTAACAGTATAGCTACTGAGTAAAGGAACATGCTATGTTAAAGAGGTTTAATTGGAAGCCTTCAAGACAATCAACCACTTGAAATATTGCATTAAAGCATACAGTAAAACGACAAAATTCCTAGATGAATGAATATTTGGGCAAAAGACATGAGCATGTTGATTGATAGAATATATTTATGGATAACAAATCCCAGTTAAGCTTTAGGTTGAAATTTCCCACGAGAACTGATTTCGAAAGAAACTCTCTCGCATAATCTCGTTCCGATTAAGGAAGTAATTGAGAGCGCACAAAAATTGAAGGATATGATAAACATACGTATCATATCAAAACAAAAAAAGTTGGAAGCTACATGCCTGTTTGTAAAGTGTTTGCAAAGCCAACTAACAGAAATAACGATATCGAGCCGTATACACGATATTAATGAACTAGAGACGAACAATTTTGCCGGACTTGACCGTATTGCAAAATATGTTTTACGAATTGTGTTTCAAGATCTTTATTCTTCAAAATAATGTTTGATGCAGTGTGAATTCCTGAGTTTATAAAACCAGTTTTTGTCTTTCGCTGACATTTTGTATCCTTTCTTAAAGAAAATAGCGAGCAAAGCGTACATTGTGAGTAGCTAGGAAAATGAATACATGGCCACAATTTGTGGCGGTTTAAATTATATTTTATGCATGTATATTGGATGTGTTTTAATCCAATCACACAACCTGCTGACAAACTTACAACCCATATACCCCCCCCCCCTCACCCCCATTCTTTTTATTGTCACTTACGCATGTCTCGACGCTGTGTCTTGTCCTGTTTCAGAGTCAAGTAAACGTCGACCGAAACAGAAACGAAAGCCCGGTCGCAATCCCAGAGTTCCATTCACTCCCAAACAGCTGACGACCCTGGAAAACAAGTTTGAAACAATGAAGTACTTGACAAGTGATGAAGTTCGTAGTTTGTGTTTGGAACTGACGTTACCGGAAAACAAAATAAAAATATGGTTTCAAAATCGAAGAGCAAGAGAGAAAAGAAAAAGTTCACAAAGCAGCGATGAATATGTTGACGTAATGACAATTGACGGGGAGAACAGTTAGCTATGTATGACGACACATGCACTGAAAATTAGTTATAGTTTTTATAGAGGTCTATAGTTATAAAATCAGTTATGCAATCATAAAGTTTGCATTGTAGTAATCTTGCACAGCGTACGTTCAACAGGACCTTTATTTATTGCTGTCAATATTCAATAATGAGCATAGGAATTTCTTCGATGACGTCATTCGAGCATTTCCGCTTACAAAGAGAAAACACTTTGAATGCAAAGTTTCATAATGGAACACATCGTAAAAACCTCAGGTTGTAACATAGGATAGAAAATAAAACATACTTTTACATTTCATCATCATCTCAATGTCCATTTTTGTAATAAATATAAAAAAATAAAAATGCATTTAAAGTTGAGTGACTTAAAATAAGGTTTACACTGCAGGTCGATTTATAGACTGCAACAACAAAATCAAGGTTTATGATTGGTTCAAAGTATAGTGAAGTAAAAGATGCCATAGAAATGCCGAATCTCAACAATTAGAGTTTATCGCTGTTATCTAATTGACCCAATCGGAAAATCAGTTTATATAAGGTAAGTACTAATTTAAAAATGAACACATAAAAGAGAGATCAAAAAAAAGAATGCAACATAAAAACATAGCTACCACCTCGTAATAATGCAACACCTGGATTAAAATATTTTATGTGGTTTTACTCTATGCTATTCACTGACATTTACGTACATAAATTTTATCGAAAAAATTTCTCTAGACACGGATGGTTGTATTGAAAAATACTAAATTTATAGTAGAAAAACATAAGAAACACACGATACAGAGAGTTAAGAGGTTTTACCTTCCCACCCTCTCTCGCAAGAGAAGTACCGGTACCAATACCACCACCTTTCTTGCGAGAGAAGTACATGCATCACAACCACCTCTCCACAAGAGAAGTACTGGTACCACCACCACCACCTTTCATGCGAGAGAAGTACATGCACCACCACTTCCCTCTCCCGCGAGAGAAGTACATGCACCACCAACATCCCCTTTCCTGCAAGGGAAATATCAGCAGCAGCACCACCCTCCTCTCACGTAAGAGAAGTATTGGTACCACCAATACAACCCCCTTTCCAGCAAGAGAAATACAAGTACCACCACTGACCTCTCTCCCGCAGGAGAAGTACAAGCACCACCATCAACCTCTCTAACGCAGGAGAAGTACAAGCACCACCATCAACCTCTCTAACGCAGGAGAAGTACAAACACCACCATCAACCTCTCTAACGCAGGAGAAGTACAAGCACCACCATCAACCTCTCTAACGCAGGAGAAGTACAAGCACCACCATCAACCTCTCTAACGCAGGAGAAGTACAAACACCACCATCAACCTCTCTAACGCAGGAGAAGTACAAGCACCACCATCGACTCTCTAACGCAGGAGAAGTACAAGCACCACCATCAACCTCTCTAACGCAGGAGAAGTACAAGCACCACCATCAACCTCTCTAACGCAGGAGAAGTACAAGCACCACCATCAACCTCTCTAACGCAGGAGAAGTACAAGCACCACCATCAACCTCTCTAACGCAGGAGAAGTACAAGCACCACCACCAACCTCTCTCCCGCAAGAGAAGTACAAACACCACTATCAACCCTTCCTCCCGCAAGAGAAGTACAAGCACCACAACCAACCCTTCTCCCGAAAGAGAAGTACAAGCACCACCACCAACCCTTCTCCCGCAAGAGAAGTACAAGCACCACCACCAACCCATCTCCCACAAGAGAAGTACTGTCACCTCTGCACCCTCTCCTGCGAAAGAAGTACCAGCAACAGTAGCAATGACGTGAAGAGTTGAGCTCCAGTTATCTAATTCTGTAATGACTTAATACAAATTTATGACAATCCTCCATACCCCTGTATCATTAGAAACTGTGCTTTAAACTTTAAGAACGAAGCTTTGAGCTTTTAAACGTCTTCACAGGGTTTCAACAATAAAAGAAATAAAAATGTCTTAATAAAAATCTTTTACAAGTCACATATTTACACAATTCTCATCAATCCTAATGTATAGTTCTATAGACAAAAGTATTTTGGTAAAAAATATATTATCAATGTACAACAAAACGATATATTATCAATATCCAATAACAAAAACAATTTTACACAATTCACATCAATCCTAATGTATAGTTTAATATACAAAAGTATTTTGGTAAAAAATATATTATCAATGTACAACAAAACGATATATTATCAATATCCAATAACAAAAACAATTTTACACAATTCACATCAATCCTAATGTATAGTTCTATAGACAAAAGTATTTTGGTAAAAAATATATTATCAATGTACAACAAAACGATATATTATCAATATCCAATAACAAAAACAATTTTACAAAACGACACAAACATAAACTCGACATCATAAACAGTTTCAGAAAAGTTGTCAAAGAACACCTGTCATTTCTACATATCACTTAATAACAAGAAAATTTGCGCGAAATAATAAACGCACTTTGTAATGATATTTAAAAATCTTTCATTTCTGACATAGCTTTTAGTGTAGCTAATATTAAAATCGGAACTGCTGAATAATTAAATTTTACTGATGCATTTACTCCAGTTTACACCTGTTTTTACTTAAAACAAACTAGCTAACAACTTTATCATTATGAGCTATATATTCTAAATCCACTAAACTTTGGTTTCATTTAAAATATAAAATATGAAATAAAAATTTCTGTGCAGTAGTTATAAGGTTTATGGGTCTTCGAATACAATAATTCGCTATTGCGCAAAAAGGAATATTTCTCATTATCCTTAAAATGAAAGTTTGGGTGTAAAACATTACACCGGAGTATAGGGAGACATAGAACGAAAACGGGATTTTCTATTTTCAAAGTTCTACCTTTATTTACAAGAGTCCTACCCGTAGAATGAACTATAATATCAAAGATAGTACAAAGTTTCAAACAACTTCGCCCTGTTTGACTTAATTTAAACCAGCCTTAAACATGTTTAGACATTTTTAGTTTGTTGATAACTTTCAGTCTTTCACAACTTAACTCTTTCATTTATAAGACTTTATACTTTTTAAATTGATAACATTTAATAAACCAAGTCATTCGCGCAGTCCAAATTGAGCCCCACATTCAATCTTTTTATGTTGTGAAATTTTAATTCATTTTGGATGGAAAACTGACTTAAACAAATTTGCTTAACAATCAGCTTATCAATTGCCCACTCGGGATAAAGACTAGTGATCACAATGATAACACAAAGTTGCATTGAAAGATAGAAGTTTGCTATTTTAACGCTGTTATCTTGACTAGGTGCTGTTAAATGATGTATTTTAAGTGCTTTTCGATTGCCATAAGCCCATAACGAATAGCAATGTAACATAAGAAACATCAAAACTAGACGACTGACCACATTATGAAATAGAACTGCCAGGCTGAGACATCATTAGTCATTTATCAAGAATTTAATGATACGTCAAAACGCAAGGATGGATTTAGGACAGGGTTGAAGAGAAGTATGCACCACCACCCTCAGTCTTAGATACACAAGATGGAAGTCAATTTCTCTGCAAAATACTAATATATCAAACAATTAATGGACACACTTAACAATCGGGCCTCCCCCCCCACATACACTGACACACAGACACACACAAACCATCATCTCTGATCATTTAGGGGAAGACGGCAAGACATTTCCAATAATCAAAATAAGAAATATGTTTGTATAACAGGAGGATGTCACTGCACTAAGAAGATTAGTACAATCAACACGTGCACAAATCCAACCACTTTAGCGGGAAAAGATCGAGAACTATTTTCACTTAACCAGAAGAAATCATTGATTTTAATCTGAGCCAAAAACATTGACAGACAAGAAAGAAAAGAGAGCTTCAATCTGAAACTTTGATCCCATCGTTAACTAATGACATTCAAAGTGAAAGATATGAAATTTTTGAAAGACGTAGCTGTTCAAAACAATAGCGACAGACTGACAGGTACTTCAGCCAAAATGCACATCAGAACACACACACACGGTTATAGATTTATACATAATAAACTCTCCCTTTAGAGAGCTTTTTGCTCTGTGTATCATGTTATACACCATTATTATTTGAGCAAAACCAAAATACATTTTCAGAAAATACAAGCAGCATCAGAGCAACGTCCTCAAAACCAGAGGTTTGCCCATGTTTAAGTGGTTTGCCCGTGTTTAAGTGGTTTGCCCATGTTTAAGTGGTTTTCATGTTTTGCATTTTCCCTATTCGTCTATGTCAATGGGGTTCAAGAAAACTTACTCAAACAATCAAGAAACTTTGTAAGGAATTGAACTCAGTGTATCAATAATAGCTAATATATCACTCTAACGACACGTTTTTGGTATGGCAAGCCAAACCTGCCAAAAGTGTATCGAGATTTATAAGTCGTATTAGAATTACTATAAGTCCATTTGAGATTCGTAAAGTGGTACTCGAAATTACTATAATGCGGTGTGAAAACTATATTATTATTGTTGAGTTGTGTATGACGAGATTTATATGACGAGTTGTTTTATAAACTGTGACGAGATTTATAAGACGAGTTTTATATGACGAGTTTCGTATGACGAGATTTATAAGACGATTTTTATATGACGAGTTTCATATGACGAGTTTTATATGACGAGTTTCATATGACGAGATTTATAAGACGAGTTTTATATGACGAGATTCATATGACGAGTTTTATATCGCGAGTTTTCCTCTAACAACATGAAGTATTGAGTTAAAGAACACTTGTTTGTTTCAAAAGCAGTCATTAATTATATGCAAAATTTCGGCGGGTTGGTAACTTTGTATTTTCTATCTATACTGTATCGCTCTCACCAAAATGACAGAAATGAGCAATAGAGAAATTATTGAGGAGCTTCTTGGCAGAGTTACAGAGCTGTCTGAAAGAATATCACCTGACGTGGACAGTTCTGTAAGGTCAGAAGTGAGAACTATATTTGGACGACATACGACCGCTTTAAATTTGCCAAATGCTGAAACGAGTCGCCAGAGAGAATTAACGCATCACCCTAATCAAATGGCATCAACAGCTACAATAGAGAATCGCCTCCCAATTAGAAGAAATTCATCCACTGCATTTCAATCGAGGCGCTATTTTCCCGCAAGTAGACCTGCTGCAAGAAGCCGAACAAGGCGAACTCGTTCATCAACAGTAATTGATAACAGGCCATTTTTGAGAGATTTAATCCTATTAAGCGGCCCCAAAGATAATGCAGTTCCACGGCAAGGCACTCGGCTGATGTTGGTAGAAAATGGACACATGATTTCAGGTTGTCGGTTTTCAAAAGATTTGTCAGCCGCTGCTGTCGAAACTAATATAATGATGGCCTTTGATGGAAAAATTCCGCATGGTACAGATATAGAACTGTTAACATCAGTACATTTCACTCTGGTTGCGCCAACATTAGCCCCTGGTCAGACATTGCATGGTGTTATCCTCCACAGACTATACGCACAAAAGCCAGTGTATGTACGACCTTGTGTCCAGCTGCTTAACATGGGAAATGCAACAAAGGTTGGAGAATTAGATTGCTACATGCTCATCATGTAAATAGTGTGCTTTTAAAAACTGATATGTTGTTCATTTACAGGAACCAGGCAGCAATTCTAGTGAAGGTAAAATACATAGATTGGGTAAAAGCAAGGGATCTTTCCACATTTGTCATAAGAGGGGATCAAGTGATTGTACACTAAAATAATGTAAAAAGTATTTTTTTTAATTCAAACAAACTTTTTTTACAATTGTTTTTTTGTGACAGTAATATGTCGAGGTATATCATTTTATATTTATAAGGGCGAATAGATGATGCTCATTGAACGGATCTAACAGGTTTTCGTTTTCCATGAATTTAAAGACACCAACGTATAGAGCAGAAAGAACCCGGTTTACTTCTGCCCACAACCGTTCTATCCTTTGGTTATGCACACTTCGCCCGGCAATGAAACTACCTCTATTCTCACCACGACGTGATATCATTAGCCGTGCTACGTCAACGTTTTCGACACCTCGATCTCCACGAACCCTCGAAGGCAAACCGAATTCATCAATCTTTTTTTTGAAAAGATCAACTACTGTCTGAGCTCTATTATCAGCGCAGCACTCTAGGTAAATGACTGCCCGACTAAACCCGTCGATGCAACCATGGATAACGAATCGCCAGGATATAAGCTTATGGTTTGAGTCAATATGCCAAAGAAAATTCGGCCCGGGAACGTTATAAACCCGTCTACAAATCGCATACCTCCTTCGCATATTTCTTCCAATAGTATCGATTCTCCGAAGACTTTCTCTGACCCTTTCTCTTTGGACATAGATCTTTCTAGCCCTTAAACTACCCCTGATATAACATTCTCCACTATATGGAGTAAGCCTTAAAATATCTCTTATCTGCCCATCTAAACTATCATCGGTGATGTCTGTAAAGCTAGCCTCAACTCCATATTCAATCCTTCTCCGGTAAATTGTTTGTTCTGATACACAAAGGAAGCTAGCTATACTTTTCCATTTCATTCCGGTATCTCGTAATTGCTCTATCTGTACTTTGGTTATATCAAAACAAGGCCTCCCTCCCTCCCGACTCGTTTCAGCATTTGGCAAATTTAAAGCGGTCGTATGTCGTCCAAATATAGTTCTCACTTCTGACCTTACAGAACTGTCCACGTCAGGTGATATTCTTTCAGACAGCTCTGTAACTCTGCCAAGAAGCTCCTGAATAATTTCTCTATTGCTCATTTCTGTCATTTTGGTGAGAGCGATACAGTATAGATAGAAAATACAAAGTTACCAAACCGCCGAAATTTTGCATATAATTAATAACTGCTTTTGAAACAAACAAGTGTTCTTTAACTCAATACTTCACGTTGTTAGAGGAAAACTCGCGATATAAAACTCGTCATATGAATCTCGTCATATAAAACTCGTCTTATAAATCTCGTCATATGAAACTCGTCATATAAAACTCGTCATATGAAACTCGTCATATAAAAATCGTCATATGAAACTCGTCATATAAATCTCGTCATATGAAACTCGTCATATAAAACTCGTCATATGAAACTCGTCATATAAAAATCGTCTTATAAATCTCGTCATACGAAACTCGTCATATAAAACTCGTCTTATAAATCTCGTCACAGTTTATAAAACAACTCGTCATATAAATCTCGTCATACACAACTCAACAATAATAATATAGTTTTCACACCGCATTATAGTAATTTCGAGTACCACTTTACGAATCTCGAATAGACTTACAGTAATTCTAATACGACTAATAAATCTCGATACACTTTTGGCAGGTTTGGCTTGCCATACTTTTGCTTATCACAAATTCTAGCCCAGATTACAATACGCTTAAGTACGAGTGTATATATAGAAAAACAAACAAAGGTGTTTTTGGCACGCGTTTTAATAAACAAAATGCTCCATGATCAAATAAATACACGTCACACAGACTGCCAAAAATTAACGTACTTGACGTCAAATTCATGCTAACTAAACAAGAAGTATATAGATGTTTTCAAGTTGAGTGCATGATCATTTTTTAAATATATACCATAGTATAATTTTAGAATTTTGATATACATTTGTATATATAGTATAAGAGAGCCAGTAGTTTATCAGTCTATTTGACTGTTGTCTGTTACCCTCTTGAGATAAAGTTTTTGTACATACTTAAACATATATGCAATATATAATATCTATAAATATACATCTATATAATATCCGTTGAACTCAAAACACCTGGAGCAATATTTTTACCGCCATATTTGAATTTTAAATTCAAGAATAAAATATCTTTTTCTCTTGTGCAAATGTGACTGGATTTCTTGCTGGGGATTTCGTTTTTAACGGAACAACAAATTTTCGAAAAGATTTTTGACATTAAGAAGCAACATAAATAATGCTTTGTGAACACGAGGCTCGAGAGTTAAGACTTAAGAGCATCGGCAAAATTCATCACATAATTACAAAAACAAAATACGCTAACAAATTTGTACTTACTCCTTAAAAAAAACCCCAGCTAATCTTTATAATCTTCTTGTGAATACTGTCATGGAAAAGATCATTTCACACGTACTCTCCACAAATTGGTCTTAAAATTCATAAATAACACAAACAATCTCATCTCAACCATTCACAATTCTCAACTATGAACTTTGATAATACACTGGACACCAGTTCGTGGGCACAGATGCAATCAAAGTATTTAAGCACCTGCGTAAAGGCAAGTTAATAACAACTTACCACACAATAATCTGATCAGATATCATACGATAAGACTTTGTGCCTGCAAAGCCAGTGAAAGGTACTTCTCATAAAACCTCCAAATCAAAATACGCTTTGTGTGATAAATTAAATATTACATGATATGTCATCTTGCTATAATCGACATTTGACTGTCTCCATGACAAATATGCACAATGTTTAAATTATCTCCCTTGCAAAATCTCTAATCATCTTATTTGAGTGAAAGTAGTAATGGAAACTGGGGAAAAAAGACTTACCTAATATACACACGAAGAGCAAAATCATTAAACTTATTTTTGAAGAGTCTTTCAGAAGAGTCATTCATGAAGAATTATTCAATAAAAGCTGCCATTGATCAAAATGACGGCATATGATGCAAACGAATTGCTAAAAGGACTAGGGTGAAGAATTGTGAAAACCCTCAATATTTAGCTCGGGATGAATGGATTAGAGGGTAGTTAGCGATCGTGTGAGTTGGTCTGTTAAGGACTCAAACTTTAAATTAGGAATAAGTTATCGTATATGACGGTGGTGTGTATGCAAAATCATTGGAAACCATTCAAGAATAGCCTTTGAATCAGAGGTACGAGAGTCAGAAACACTGGTTGTAATTACTTAACATTACTCACTATGTCTAACGATGGTAGATTAATTAAAATCATTTTAAAGAATTGAATATTAAAGAAATAGCAATATTCGTCTTGTGTACAAAGGTGTTGCTGTTTGTATTAGTTTCAGTGTTGATGACATTTTTATACAACTATATCTTATACATTGATTACTGATATTTTTCAACGTCTTTCTTATTAATCTCTCGTGTTTTGCATCATTTACATGATAATTTGGCTTATCAGAAAAATAAATTTCGTGGTATAAGACATTTCATAAGTCAAAAGGAAGTTGTCAAACACTGTTGGGGTGAAAACATACACTTTAAAAGATTATTGTTACTTTGCATAATTATTCAAAATGTGTTTTTAATATGTCAAAAGAAAAGTGTTTTTGTCATTGTGCGCCAAGACTCTTGAAAGAAGAACATCAGGTAAGAGGGTGATTACACAAAACATAAACTAATTTTAGTTAAAAAGATTTGTAAACAGAGACAAAAGTTTTACCATTATGTAAGTGCATGCAATTCTCTATACATTGCTTATAATTTTCACAAATCCTTAATTCTACTCAAGTTACGGCAAACGTCAATACATTTGCACAGACGGAAATTTCCTCTTGCAATTAATGCCGAATAAAATGTATTCTCAGTTGATTTATTTATACCTGTGTTTATAAATATTTTATTCTATTATATAACATGTTATGTCAAAGAAAATCGTTGTTGAGAAAAAATCTCATTTTGTACACTACAAAATGATGTCCTAGTCAATATTACTATTAGCTACGAGCAAAAAAGCAAGCGATGTTTCGATTTTTTCTCAACTCACCTCGATGTGAGTTGCGTTTTGATACTATGCTACACAATGCATATCCAATTATATTTTCAAGATACTAGCTAAGCTGTTTTCCAAAAATTGTTTGTTGATTATGTTGAAGAGTGATCAGGTGCGGACTTGGTTTGTTGATCGTTGCAAAATGTATCGGCAAGGACTTGTATTTGGTGTCAAATAATTAGAAACGTGAATGTGATGAATGTTTTTTAGTTGTATGGGATATCAAATTTTTGTTCAAACGTTTTATGGTCTAAATTGACATTAGCATTTTACCTCTTAACTGATGAAACTTTTCCTCATGCATCACAACATTCTGATTTGGATGAAATTTTTGCTTTAGTAATTTGAATGCTTTGCTTGCTGGTAAATGCATTTGATTTTACTGGGGTCATATTGTAGTTAAAAATGTTATATAGGTTTCAGCTGTTAAGATATGCTCTCATATTCTTCCCGTGATTAGTAAACATTAATTCAAGTGTAAGTAATTAGATGACTAATGTTAAGAGATACTTATAATGTTATCAAGACAATATTTTTTATAGTTCCTAGTAGTTTTCCGTTGACGTCAATGAACCATATTTGTTATCAGAACCCAAAATAATCTTACGTAAATTTTGTATAAATAGAAGTAGTTAAATCATTGTAAAATAGAAGACGTTGAACATTAGATGTGATCGTATAGTTATCTGTAACATTGGTTGGTGTAAGTCAAATTATAATAAAGAAGAACATGGCTACATCACAAAACCTAACATCAGCAAGGTTTGCGTCAGTTAACACTAAAAAATTAATGTTTCAAACGTTTTATTAAGGAATACTGCCTATAGTGACACTCGTTAACTTTCTGCGGAAAAATTGTGAGGTTGTTAATTTTATCAATCATTTGTCGCTCATGTGCATTGAATTCTATTTCATCTTCCAAATCAATTATTTTGATTTAGAAACGTTCAAGGTCTTGCATGAATTACATTTCACGCTTCTAGTGTTGCTTTCAAATCGCCTGCTCAAATAAACATATCCGACACGTGAAAAAGCAGCTGCACAGGCAAACTGATAAGATTGAATAATTTTTCATGGCATGTGAAAGTGGTGCTCATTTTGATGATGAAGTCAGTTTGTAATGCACAGTAACATTCTCTGAATATTTGGCTCTGGTTTTGTTTTGTCCTAAAGACACTTCGACGTTGTTTTCGTCATTTTTTTGGCATTGTCAGATTTCTTTAAAATAAGTCACTCATTTCCATTAAAGTTAATGGGTGAATGTGTCTGGGTCACTGCGTAAGATGATTGATCTCATTCGCAGTAAAACATCTTATTACAGCTGTGCAAATTATTCTCGAATGAAACTCCCAGTTAAAGCGACCTTATCTACATTTAACGTGTCTTAGTCATGATGCAAAATTCGACACACTGAACCATCTCCATCTTCAACAACAGCATTAGCTAATCACACCTTAATAATGGAATTTATGGCTGTCTGCGGAATATTGATTTGTCAACACATTTCAGCTTCTGTGTACGCTGTACGTCAATTTTTCTGGATTTGAGCGACCCAATTCAATCTTTACCTAATTTTGTCAAAAATATTAAATTACAAATAGTTCTATATGGTTCTATTAATATTTACTTAATAAAAATTTTAAGGGAAGATTAGAATTTTCATCATGTATAATATAAACGTTAGATGGATGTCAATGAAATACAAAGAATACCATACATAAGGCAAAAATTTTCACTATTCGATTAAACAATGAACAAGGTATGATGTTCTCATTGAATATTTGACACCTACTCGTTAAAGACAAGGATGGGGCAGTCTTTGCGGTTATTAAAATTTGTGATTACCATATGCAATTAATCACGAATTTCAACACTCTTTATTATGCATCACGTATATTTAACCACTCGTTTTGCGTTACACAATCTTATTTACTAATGTGTTTTTGTTTCTAGTTTATTCATGCTTTCCTTCAAATACTAACACGACACTTGTCGAATATTGAATTAAAAACAAGTTCCGAATATTTCAAAATCTATACACAAAGATTTAGGGAATAGAGTGGTAGAAAATCCACGAGTGAAAGCAAAATTACATTGGAACTTCTAAAATAACGAGGTTTCTGTATTTAAAAAGTGCTCCTACAAAGATATTTGATTGTATTATAAACAGACAAATGACAAAACGTTTGCAGTTTTTCGTAAAAGCGATAATCGTATTAACGATCTTCTATAAACATGCCGTCAATATGATACAAGATTTCCGGAAACCCACGCCAATTATATCTGTAAGCAATTTGTACGTGCACGACGATAAAATAACAACTCCAACACACACAACGCTTACTTGATTGTAGGGGAACATACTCTGTCAATATCAAATTCAAGTGAAAGAAAAGCAGCGCACCATATTATCTAGGGTCTCACTATGATAATCAAAAGGCATTTCCAAAACGTCTATCCTTCCTTTGTCTATGGATTCCTTATTCTTACAAGTTTGATGAAAGTACATCCAATGGCCAATGCTGGTGATTTGAGAAAAATGTGCAACTGGACTCAAACAAACCAGACAAATTGCACAAGGAATGAGACTGGTTCTCGTAATCAAAGTGATGTAAGTTTATAAACAAAAACTCTATTGTATGTAACTGCAAAAATCATTTTATTTGGTCTGATGAATTAATTTAAAGTCAATGAAATGTTTTGTTGACTGGAAAGAAATGCATTCAAAGAAATACGGTAGGTGCAAAAAAATCTCATATTAAAAAAAGTCAAAAAGCCACAATAGTCTAACTGAAGCCATTGGGTAAAAGTCATCTTATTGAACAATCTTACAATTCTTGTATTTATTATTTCCTTTATGCGATTTTTATGGCATTATCAGAAGTTGGTTTACGCCAAGCCTGAAACTGAATACGTTTAAAAGGAAATATTTTTCTATCAAAAAACAAGCGGAACTTTAGTGCTTTTATTTTAGATACAAACTTCTTCACAGTATTATGTGCAGTCATTTTAGAATTATTTGCAACATTTCCAATATTTATAAGACAACCATCAACTACAATAATTGTACCTCTCCATAATTTCTGTAAGTTATTTATTATCCTGTGCTCCATCTCGAAATCAAATAAACTAAAATTTTCACAATATTTTAATACATGTCACACAAAAAGAGACTTAGAATAAAAATCATATCAAATCCTCGTGTCAAGCGCAGCAGAAATGATTTCCGTTTCACAATTACATTTCCGAATTCTTTGTTGCTGTCCAACTTCTGTAAAAATCTCCACATTCCCCCTTTTGCTAGCACGTAATATGCAGCAAAGACTACAGAAAATGGCAGTTCTGCGAGTTCGTATTTGAAATTTTTAAAACTCATCCACAAAGCCTTGAGGTGTATCCGCTTCTGAAATGCTTCCGTATTCTGTAATTCGTAACACTTGCTGAGTGCAAAACTTGCACACTTGCAGTAGAAAACTACGTCTAAAAGAAATGAAATAGACTGACAAGAGATAAAGCATTGAATTAATGCATTTCTAAAATTTTTGCAATTTTCTTCTCCACCATTGAGAAATATGACAGTTTACAATGCATTTAAAATTTTCATATGTTTCATTGAAGAACAAACCCAAGAACGGTACCTCGTTTCGTTATGAAACATTGATAACAACAATGGTGGTCTCCACAGTTGGTGTCCTTACAAATGGTCTTCTTATTGTTGTTATTGTGAAGGATCCTTTAAACAAACTTAGACGAGGACCGTGGATTACCATCTTAAGCTTATCTATAGCAGACATCACTGCATCTTTGTCCCAATTCATGATTGTTGGACTGGGTAGATTGTTCGAGGTCAAACCATCAGAAGCTGTCATTTTATCTGTCCTTTTCTTTTGGATGTTTGGGGCTGCGGGCTCATTTTTTCACTTGACATCACTCACATGGCAAACTTACATAATTGCAAAGTATCCCATACGTAGCCAACAGATGTTGTCTACCAGAAAAATATACAAATTATGTGCGACTGTTTGGTTGATTGCCATTTGCATAGCATTTGGTGAACTCACATCAATGTACACCAAGAAAAATGAGCAGCTTATGTACACCTATATCACAGTATATGCTGTCTTGGAAATCGCAGTTTTACTTCAGATCATATTGAAGTGTTTCATACTTAAGGTTGTATTGCAAAGTCGACAAGACACTAAAGTAAATGCTGAACAGCACAACACTAAACACCTTGAAATTGTAAAGGCAATCATTGTGCTGAATGTCTTATTAGTGGTAACTGCACTTCCTTTTTTTGTCGCCAAACAAGTGGAGTTTATTCATAGGCTAGGGAAACTACAAGGTGAATTGGCTGAACGTTTTTCATATTATTATAAGCCAGTGGCCATGATGAATTTTGCTGTCAATCCAATTGTGTATGCACTGAGGCTTCCAGATTATCGAAACAGTATGAAGGCGTTGTTTAGAAAAAAGAATACTGTTTTTACTCCAACATCCAGGTCAACGACCTTTTCCTTCCGGTCCACCAATAAGACATTTGCGATGTAACTACATTCATCGTTCATAACTTTATGATTAATATATAAATTTTTTATTTGGGTATACTATAGGTTATATTAGCATAGTTTTAAAGGGAAGATGAAAGAAAAAGAAACTATCATGATTTGTAGCGAGATTTAAACTGACTAAAATTTAAAGCCAACTTTTTGACTTTTCTTTTCATGAGAAAGATCAGGAGTGTAATACTTTTTTAACGGTACATATCATTAATCAAATAAACCTTGAACTTAAAGACGTTGCAGATTTGCTTAATGCTTCGATAAAAAATTTGAAAGAAAAAACGAGTCTTGCTTGTTTGTTAAGTTTTCTATAGCTTGTTGAAAATGTGTACGCAGCTAACGTACAGTCGCAAGTGCACGGACAGCTTAAATATAGAATCCTTTCATCACAGGCATATGAGCCAAAAGAAACAATAACGATGAACCATCAAATGAAATTTGCATAGTTTTTATTCTACTTGCGTTATGATGAAAAGTTTGCTTACACAAAAAATTCTTGTGATGACCCAAAGCACAAACTTACATTGTGTGCTGAAACAGGAAATTTTGCTATAGCATTTATTAGTACGTTATTCTTTAAATTGAACGACTTTATGTTTTGAAATATGACATATTAATATACCTACAACAAAGACTTTGCTAAGAATTCTCAATAACATGAGACCAACCTGGGCCCTGGTAAAGCCATAACTTTTTAATACAACAAGACGTTCTGTACACGGATGAAATTTATTTTGGTGAGTGAATCAGTTCACTGCAATATTGAAGAAAGTAGAATTCAATACATAACGTGGAGGGATATTCGTTTCACTTTCTACATCAATATACAGCCAATTATCCATTTTCTTCTTTGTCAGTACTTCCTGTATACGTAAGAAGTTTGTGTACATCATCATGATGCCCAGCCCAAGTTTTGAAGTAGTCGGACGTAGCCGTTAAGCCACTTCTGAGGTCAACATCAACCCAGAAGAATATTTGTTTTGTCTGTTTCAAAACACCAGATACATACACGCGGTCTTAATTTACCATATAAGACATTTTATTTTGCTATCAGTTGAGTATTTGTGAGAAGAAGAGTTAAGAACGCATCACACGACGAACGCGAAAGTCGTTTTTTTATAACATCCAAAACTGATTGTAAGAAGGCCAGCAGACGACAAAGAAGTTAGTCTTGGAGGTATATAATAATTATTATTTGTAATAACAGGATTACGGCGTTTTACCAAACCCTGTCGTTCGTTTGAGCTGATAGTACGATTGATAAAACATTTCGACATGTGGTTTATCGAACCCCTTTAAACCAAATTTTAGTCATCGATTCATGTAATTACCAGACTTTGTACACTTCAAATTAGATTTTGTATAAGTAAATTATATTACTTTTTTAGACGGGTGGAACAAGGCGGACAATTCCTTAAATAAAATCAATTTCTGAGGTCACGCTATGGTACCTGTACAATACGTTTATAGATACGTTGTTTTTATATGTTTGTTGAATGTATATCCTGTGCCAGTGCCAGTGGTCAAAGCTAGTGACAATTCTATCAAAATGTGCAATTCGACTAAAACAGATCAAATAAATTGCACAAGGAATTCCTCTGTTTCGCAAAATAATACAAATGTAAGTATTATATAAAAAGTATTATAAGTCATGAAAATAAACTTTGTTGACTGCAAAGAGAAATGCATTCAAAGAAATACATACAAGCTTGCGAGAAAAACGTAAACGCGTTTGCTCTTTTGTATTACTCAACAACGTTACATACAGTGATTTTATCATGAAAGTTGACATTTTGAGAATAAGCAAAATTATTATGTGCAGTTCATTTAATTAGCGTTTTGTGGCTTCATGGTAAGCTGTAAAGATAAACATTGCTATCCAAAGTTTTTTGCCAAAATCAAATAATCGTATGATAAAACATGCATAAAACGATTTCACCAATATCTCCGAATACAAACGAAAATGACTTGATATTGTAAATATTCTATGCATATTTACAATATCAAGTCAGTTTCACTTGCCTGCTTTCTTCAAGAGTTCAAGAGTACCAAGAAAAAGACAATATCTGCATATCTCTCATGGATATCAAGAACTCATTTTTTTATATGTACCGAGATATGATATTTTCATCAATAACATCTCTATGTAATGAACTAGGCAACTACATGATATTCAACATTGTTTGTTCCTCGCGAATTTGGAATTGTCATAGAAACAGCAAAGCTTGTGTTTGTTGCCTTGATAAGAACAAAACATAAAAATTACAACATTCCTCAAATTATGTAGTGGCGTAAAAGTAAGCCCGTATATTTGGTCTTGCTATGCGAATATATCACAGTTCACACACAGTGGAAACTGAAAAATCAGTTCCTACAAAAATAAATAATGGCAATGTTCTCAAACTCATGTATAAGACTAAAACTTAAAAGCTTATGCAAAAGTCGATGATATTAAAACGACATCATTTTAAGTTTGGTCATCATTTGCAACATAAACATAAGCATAAGAAGAATTGACAGTTGATAATCTTTTGCAGTTATGCTCATGTTTATACCTTTGCCAAAAGTGAGAACCAGGATTTGAGCGTTATAATTGAGTTCCTCGTCTAAAAAGAACAAATTTTTGTTTTTAAAAGTATTGCAACATATAATAAACATATATTTATGTATTTAATATGAAACCAAAGAAAAGTTTCTCACTTCCTCAAGAAATATTGATAACAACAATGGTGATCTCCACAGTTGGTGTCCTAACAAATGGTCTTCTTATTGTTGTTATTGTGAAGGATCCTTTAAACAAACTAAGACGACGACCGTGGATTACTATCTTAAGCTTATCTATAGCTGATTTCACTGCATCTTTGTCCCAATTCATGATTGTTGGATTGGGTAGATTGTTCGAGGTCAAACCATCAGAAGCTGTCATTTATTCTGTCCTTTTCTTTTGGATGTTTGGGGCTGCGGGCTCATTTTTTCACTTGACATCACTCACATGGCAAACTTATATGATTGCGATGTATCCCAAATACAGACAACAAATGTTATCTACGAAGAAAATTTACATATTATGCGTCACAGTTTGGTTGATTGCCATTTGCATGGCATTTGCTGAAGTCACATCACTTTACATAAAAAAATTTGACCAGCTTATGTATATCTATATCACGGTATATGCTGTCTTGGAAATTGCTGTTTTACTTCAGATCATATTGAAGTGTTTCATACTTAAGGTTGTATTGCAAAGTCGACAAGACACTAAAGTAAATGCTGAACAGCACAACACTAAACACCTTGAAATTGTGAAGACAATCATTGTGCTGAATGTCTTATTACTGGTAACTGCATTTCCTTTTTTGTCGCCAAACAAGTGGAGTTTATTCAAAGGCTAGGGAAACTACAAGGTGAATTGGCTGGACGTTTTTCATATTACTATAAGCCAGTGGCCATGATGAATTTTGCTGTCAATCCAATTGTGTATGCACTGAGGCTTCCAGATTATCGAAACAGTATGAAGGCGTTGTTTAGAAAGAAGAATACTGTTTTTACTCCAACATCCCAGTCAACAACCTTTTCCTTCCGGTCCACCAATGAGACATTTGCGATGTAACTTCATTCATCATTCATAACTTTATGATTGATATATAAATTTTTTATTTGGGTATAGTATAGGTAACATTAGCATAGTTTTAAAGGGAAGATGAAAGACAAAGAAACTATCATGATTTGTAGCAAGATTTAAACTGACTAAAATTTAAAGCCAACTTTTTGACTTTTCTTTTCATGAGAAAGATCAGCAGTATAATACTTTTTTAACGGTACATATCATTAATCAAATAAACCTTGAAGTTAGAGACGTTACAGATTCGCCCAGTGCTTCGATAAAAAATTTGAAAGAAAAAATGAGTCTTGCTTGTTTGTTATGTCTTCTATAGCTTGTTAAAAAAATGACAACAAACTTACTACATATATCGTTTGCTACTTGGAGAATGTATTGGAAAAAAAAACTTCGGTATAAACGGAGCTTCGTTCCATCGCTCAAAGAGTAAGTTGATCTGTTCAAAATAAAGAAAAAGTGTACGCAGCTAACGTACAGTCGCAAGTGCACGGACAGCTTAAATACAGAATCCTTTAATCACAGGCATATAAGCCAAAAGAAACAGTAACGATGTACCATCAAAATGAAATTTGCATAGTTTTTATTCTACTTGCGTTATGATGAAAAGTTTGCTTACACAAAAAATTCTTGTGATGACCCAAAGAACAAACTTACATTGTGTGCTGAAACAGGAAATTTTTGCTATAGCATTTATTAGTACGTTATTCTTAAAATTGAAAGAGTTTATGTTTTGAAATATGTCAAATTAAGATACCTACAACAAAGACTTTGCTAAGAATTCTCAATAACATGAGACCACCCTGGGCCGTGGTAAAGCCATAACTTTTTAATACAACAAGACGTTCTTTACACGGATGAAATTTATTTTGGTGAGTGAATCAGTTCACTGCAATATTGATGAAAGTAGAATTCAATACATAACGTGGAGGGATACTTCGTCTCACTTTCTACATCAATATACAGCCAATTATCCATTTTCTTCTTTGTCAGTACTTCCTGTATACGTGAGAAGTTTGTGTACATCATCATGATGCCCAGCCCAAGTTTTGAATTAGTCTGATGTAGGCGTTAAGCCACTTCTGAGGCCAAGGTCAACCGAGAAAAATAGATGTTTTGTCTGTTTCAAAACACCAGATACATACACGCGATCTTAATTTACCATATAAGACATTGTGTTTTGCTATCAGTTGAGTATTTGTGAGAAGAAGAGTTAAGAACGCATCAATGAATCTTTATTGTAAGAAGGCCAGCAGACGACAAAGAAGTTAGTCTTGGGAGATATATAATAATTATTATTTGTAATAGCAGGATTACGACGTTTTACCAAACCCTGTCATTTGTTTGAGGAGATAGTACGATTAATAAAACATTTCGACATGTGGTTTATCGAACCCCTTTAAACCAAATTTTAGTCATCGATTCATGTAATTACCAGACTTTGTACACTTCAAATTAAATTTTGTATAAGTAAATTATATTACTTTTTTAGACAGGTGGAACCCGGCGTACAATTCCTTAAATAAAATCAATTTCTGAGGTCACGCTATGGTACCTGTACAATATGTTTATAGATACGTTGTTTTGATATGTTTGTTGAATATATATCCAGTGCCAGTGGTCAAAGCTAGCGACAATTCTATCAAAATGTGCAATTCGACAAAAGTAGATAAAGTAAATTGCACAAGGAATTTCTCCGTTTCGATACTTAATACAAAAGTAAGTAGTATTATATAAAAAGTATTATAAGTCATGAAAATAAACTCGAGTGCTTTGTTGACTGCAAAGAGAAATGCATTCAAAGAAATACATACAAGCTTGCGAGAAAAACGTAAAGGCGTTTGCACTTTTGTATTACTCAACAACGTTACATGCAGTGATTTTATCATGAAATTGGACATTTTGAGAATAAGCAAAACTATTATGTGTAGTTCATTTAACTAGCATTTTGTGGCTTCATGGTAAGCTGTAAAGATAAACATTGCTATCCAAAGTTATTTGGCAAAATCAAATAACTGTATGATAAAACATGCATAAAACGATTTCACCAATATCTCCGAATACGAACGAAAATGACTTGATATTGTAAATATTCTATGCATATTTACAATATCAAGTCATTTTCACTTGCCTCCTTTCTTCAAGAGTTCAAGAGTACCAGGCAAAAGACAACATCTGCGTATCTCTCCATGCATATCAAGAACTTCATTTTTTTATATGTACCGAGATATGATATTTTCATCAATATCTTCTCTGTGTAATGAACTAGGCAACTACATGATATTCAACATTGTTTGTTCCTCGTGAAATTGGAATTGTCATAGAAACAGCAAAACTTGTGTTGGTTGCCTTGATAAGAACAAAACATAAAAATTACAACATTCCTCAAATTATGCTTGCTTTATGTAGTGGCATTGAAGTAAGCCCGTATATTTGGTCTTGGTATGCGAATATATCACAGTTCACACACAGTGGAAACTGAAAAATCAGTTCCTACAAAAATAAATAATGGCAATGTTCTCAAACTCATATATAAGACTAAAACTTAAAAGCTTATGCAAAAGTCGATGATAGTAAAACGACATCATTTTAAGTTTGGTCATCATTTGCAACATAAACATAAGCATAAGAAGAATTGACAGTTGATAATCTTTTGCAGTTATGCTCATGTTTATACTTTTGCCGAAAGTGAGAACCAGGATTTGAGCGTTATAAATTAGTTCCTCGTCTAAAAAGAACAAATTTTTGTTTTTAAAAATATTGCAACATAAAATAAACATAAATTTATGTATTTAATATGAAAGCGAAGAAAAGTTTCTCAATTCCTCAAGAAACATAAATAACAACAATGGTGATCTCCACAGTTGGTGTCCTAACAAATGGTCTTCTTATTGTTGTTATTGTGAAGGATCCTTTAAAAAAACTAAGACGAGGACCGTGGATTACCATCTTAAGCTTATCTATAGCTGACATCACTGCATCTTTGTCTCTATTCATGATTGTTGGATTTGGTAAATTGTTCGAGGTCAAATCATCAGAAGCTGTCATTTATTCTGTCCTTTTCTTTTGGATGTTTGGGGCTGCGGGCTCATTTTTTCACTTGACATCACACACATGGCAAACTTACATGATTGCAAAGTATCCCAAATACAAACAACAAATGTTATCTACGAAGAAAATTTACATATTATGCGCCACAGTTTGGTTGATTGCCATTTGCATGGTATTTGGTGAACTCACATCAATTTACACCAAGAAAAATGACCAGCTTATGTATATCTATATCACAATATATGCTGTCTTGGAAATCGCTGTTTTACTTCAGATCATATTGAAGTGTTTCATACTTAAGGTTGTATTGCAAAGTCGACAAGGCATTAAAGTAAATGCTAAACAGTACAACACTAAACACTTTGAAATTGTAAAGACAATCATTGTGCTGAATGTCTTATTACTGGTAACTGCATTTCCTTATTTTGTCGCCAAACAAGTGGAGTTTATTCAAAGGCTTGGAAAAATACAAAGTGAATTGGCTGGGCGTTTTTCTTACTACTACAAACCAGTTGCCATGGTGAATTTTGCTGTCAATCCAATTGTGTATGCACTGAGGCTTCCAGTTTATCGAAACAGTATGAAGGCGTTGTTTAAAAAGAACAGTTTTATTTCTACTGATACAGCACAGCAATCGACAACCTCGTTCCGTTCTGCTGATGAAACGATTGCTTTGTAGATAATATGCATTGATTAATATGTATTGATCATATATAACTTGATTACAAATATATATAATGATTATTTTTTTAATATAGGTAATAATATAAACTTTAGTGGAATTTGTAGTTATACTTTTGTGTAATTTTTAGTGTAATGTTTGGATTTGTAGCCAATTTTGCCTTCAACAAACTATTTTGATAACCACATCAAAACATAGTACAATATCGTATCTAATAATACGTTGTCCTCCTTGCTGCTTATTTACATCTTTACGAAGAAATTCTCTACATTGAATTTAGCGTGAGCAGAAGCTTTGTTTAACAGGTAAAACTTGGCAGCTTTGTTGCATCGAAAATTTCACAAGAAAAAGCAAGTTGCCCTTACAGACTTAACTTCTTTCAAAATGGCAGAACGTTTTTCATTGATAAAACAGCATGGTCGGCAATCAGCATGTATTTGAAAATTCAGGCAGAATCGTTTTTAATTATACTTTATACTTTGCAAGAAAAAGTATGTTTAACAATCTATCAATATGTAGCAATATGAAGAAAAGAACAAGGCCATATTTCAACCCTTTCATACTTTACACAACAGCCCAAGAGAAGGTTGACTTCCCAGCATTCATGTAATCTTAGAACTCTCTATGACAAGTTCATGACATAACATATAAGTTCATTTTGACTTCTTGTAATATCAGCTGTTTTTTAAATGCTCTGAGCAATTAAAACATTAGAGAGTCATATATAGTTGCGCATGAGATGCGTCAAAACTCTATGCATGTGATGGATATGACGGATCGTAGAACTAAAAATACTTTTTTGTTTGTTTTATAAATATTTTAAAGGCGTCGTTCAGTTTGGACTATTCAAGGAAAAAGATGTTTGAATGTTAAAACCTAAAATATACAGTGTATGAACGAAGAGTGTTTGATTGTTGTCTTCAACTTATTTTTTATTACTTTTTGCTTTTCCATCTAAAATTCAACGACGAACAAACCCATGTATACATGTTTGACTTTGAAAAACGGAATTATTTTTGTCATGTATAGACTCTGTCTTACGGTCACCTTTCATAGTTCTATAAGCACAATTGTATTTTCTAGTTGACATAGAATTTTTCTTTTTCCTTTCAAATCTGCATATCATTTTATTGTATGATTCAATTATGACAGATAAATTAATGTGAAAGTCCATAACATGCGTGGTTATTTTATTGGTTAATATTGCCTGGTATGACGACATTGTAATTTTCAAATAAACTTTTATGAAAGTTTTGTTGACGTCATGCTTGATATTTGAAGCTACGATAATAATTTTCGTTAAAACACCACATATTAAAATATGTATTGCAAGCCTTTTCGTCAACGTATATTTCTAAAACTGATTTATATGTTTGCTCTTGTTTAGGCTACATGAATACATGGCCACAATTTGTGGCGGTTTAAATTATATTTTATGCATGTATATTGGATGTGTTTTAATCCAATCACACAACCTGCTGACAAACGTACAACCCATATACCCCCTCACCCCCATTCTTTTATTGTCACTTACCCATGTCTCGACGCTGTGTCTTGTCCTGTTTCAGAGTCAAGTAAACGTCGACCGAAACAGAAACGAAAGCCCGGTCGCAATCCCAGAGTTCCATTCACTCCCAAACAGCTGACGACCCTGGAAAACAAGTTTGAAACAATGAAGTACTTGACAAGTGATGAAGTTCGTAGTTTGTGTTTGGAACTGACGTTACCGGAAAACAAAATCAAAATATGGTTTCAAAATCGACGAGCAAGAGAAAAAGAAAAGTTCACAAAGCAGCGATGAATATGTTGACGTAATGACAATTGACGGGGAGAACAGTTAGCTATGTATGACGACACATGCACTGAAAATTAGTTATAGTTTTATAGAGGTCTATAGTTAGAAAATCAGTTATGCAATCATAGAGTTTGCATTGTAGTAATCTTGCACAGCGTACGTTCAACAGGACCTTTATTTATTGCTGTCAATATTCAATAATGAGCATAGGAATTTCATCGATGACGTCATTCGAGCATTTCCGCTTACAAAGAGAAAACACTTTGAATGCAAAGTTTCATAATGGAACACATCGTAAAACCTCAGGTTGTAACATAGGATAGAAAATAAAACATACTTTTACATTTCATCATCATCTCAATGTCCATTTTGTAATAAATATAAAAATAAAAATGCATTTAAAGTTGAGTGACTTAAAATAAGGTTTACACTGCAGGTCGATTTAAAGACTGCAACAACAAAATCAAGGTTTATGATTGGTTCAAAGTATAGTGAAGTAAAAGATGCCATAGAAATGCCG